GTTGGCAAATTGAACACCAATAAAAAATAAATTTATAAAAAAAAAGAATCTGGTTCTTTATGGAAAAATTTTGCCAACCTCTGCTCTCGTCTTGTTTCAAGACTAATTTCCAGAGTCATGTTATTACTTGTGACAGGAACTAAGTAAGGCAATGTAGATGATCACTACTGAAAACAACAGTTGGACTGAATTCTTTAAAATTTCTACCTTCATATGAAAAAGAGGACTTTTTTTATTTATACAAATTACCAACCAAATTAATTTTTACTGAGTTATACTGCCCCCTAATGGTAAAAATGTTAAATCACAGATCTTTAATCAGATTAGATGCTCCCCACTGTTAATTAGTTCCTGAAATCAGAGTTGTACATATAGACTTTGTAACAAGGGACTTAAAGAATCAGAATTCACTTGGTAGGACAGAGAAGAGTTAAATGGCCTGCAAGAAGGTTAGCAGTTTTAATGAGAGTGAGAATCCCTTCCTTCTGTAAAGTTGCTTTCTCTCCAAACACTATTACACCATGCAGCATTTTCAATTGGATTTTTTTCAGGGACATACTGACCATTCGTGATGCCATGTCTAACTCTAAAAGTGAAATACAATACTAGCAATATGGTCAAAATCATATGTGCACTCACTATCACCACAGTGAGAGGAAAGTAAAGACAGCTTTAATAGGAATCTAGATGTATGCAAACACATGCCAAGACAGTTACCAAGGGGGATTGCACACATGTTGGCAACCAGGAGACAGCAGGGATGAAACCATTGGCTTTCCCCCCTTGACTACTGATTAAAATCCTCTGAAGAGCTTTTAAAAACTGATGGCCAAATCCCCACCCCCGGAGATTTTGACCTAATTGTTCTGGGGAGAGGCCCAGGAAGTAAGCTGTATTTTTTAAATTCTCCAAGTAATTGCAATGTGCAACCAAGGTTAAGAATCATTGTTCTATAGCAGTGTTTTTCACATTTTAAGGTATATTCAAATCACCTGGGGATCTTCTTAATCTGCACATTGTGAGTCAGTACATCTCTGATGGCACCTGAGAATCTGACTCCTAACGAGCTTTGCAGTGATGCTGATCCTGCTGTCCATAGATACAAGTTCAGTAGTAAGGAATTAGGTCATTCCCTGCCATAATTTTTATACAATTTCACTGGTTCTAAGAGCTTAAAGTACGTAAATATCACCTGGGAGCTAACAAAACATGCAAATTTGCAAGCTCCGGTCTCAGAAATTAAAATTCAGTGGATCTTAATTTTTAACAAGTATCCCAAGTCATTCTGAGATTCATAGTCTGGGGACCAAGTATACACAAACTGCCACAAATGCTATTTACTCTACAAATCACATTAAAAAAAAAAAAGGTGGCAGCGTTAATTTTACAAACTACTTTGACCAAATGTGGGGCAATTTTTCTCTTCTTCCAAGTGTGAGAAGAAATCATCCCCAAATTCAGTGGCTTAAACTAACAACAATTTTATTATATCTCATGGTTTTGTGGATTGGGCATTTGGGTAGAGATCATGAATGATTCTTCTGCTCTCCTTATCATTGACTGAAGTCACTTTGTGGTATCCAGCTAGCAAATAAGCTGATCTGGAGAGTCCAATATGGCTTCACTTCACATGCCTTGGCTGGAAGGCTGAGCCCTACTGGGATTATTGCCTAGAAAGTCCACATATAACTTCTCCAGTTTGGCAATCTCAAGTGAGGTCTCCTTATATGGCAACTCAAGGATCCCAGAGGGAGTGTTCCAAGACATGGGAAGTGGAAGCTGCCATTCTTTCAAATCCTGGGCTCAGAAACTGGCACACTGTCCTTTCTACCACAGTCTACTGGTTAAAGCAATAACTGAGCTCAACCAGATTCAAGGGGAGGAGTCATAAACAGGCTAGACTCATGGATGTGCAACTCTTGAAGAAGCCCAAGTGCTCAGCACATGAGGGCCCCATGCTTCGTTTAATGCTCTGTTGCCATCTTGAAGTTCTTTATAATTTTTTAATAAAAGGCAATACATTTTCATTTTACAGTGAGTCCTACAAATTATATAGCCTGTCCTGACCACAAACTTCACCTGTCAATGAAAGTAGTGTTAAAAAAATTTTGCGGGGATCCCTGGGTGGCACAGCGGTTTGGCGCCTGCCTTTGGCCCAGGGCGGGATCCTGGAGACCCGGGATCGAATCCCACGTCGGGCTCCCGGTGCATGGAGCCTGCTTCTCCCTCTGCCTGTGTCTCTGCCTCTCTCTCTCTCTCTCTGTGTGACTATCATAAATAAATAAAAATTAAAAAAAAATTTGCAGTCATCTTTAATTAGCCATAAGCTGTCTGCCAGAGACTTTATTCCTCACCATACTTCTGTATTCTAAGTTATCCTTTCAAAATGCAGATTGCAGTATGTGCATTAAATCCAGCATATAGAAGGGAAACAAATTATAGGTTGGAAATTAGTCTGAACATTAAATTCTGTGATGTTTTTGGATTAGGAAATTCATTAAAAACAATCACACTATTATCCTGAGAAACTGCTAGCACTCTAGATCTGATCACCTCTGAGCTCACCCAGTTAGGTCACTTAGGCATTGAACAACAGTTATCCAAGGTCAGTATGCATGCTGAACTTACACCTCGTGTCCTTGATGAGAAAGGCAGCTAGTAATCACTATATAGGGAAAACTCTCCTTGATCTCAGCAAATCTCATCTCTTTGGGTCATCGGTCATTTGTTGTCTGAAACATGTTTTCAGCAGGAGTTCAATAAGAGTTGCTGAGATTAATCTAACCAACAAATGGCATAACAACAATAACAAAAACAAATGCCAAAAAAACAAGATTGATAGACACAACAATGGAGAACAAGGTCAGGAAAACAGTTAAGTATGGTACTTTGCATATAGTAGGCAGGGATTATTGAATTGAAACTATTGATGTGATAAACTCAAAATGTATAATTATCCAGGGAAAGTTTCTTAGAGAAAGAAGGCATATGTTGAAAGAGATGGGGTTTGGCAGATGGTACTGAAAGGAAATAGAAACCACATTGTTTTGAGGAGAAAATCAGCTTGACTAGGATGTAGTCACTTGAGTAGAGGAATGTTACTGGATAGAGGAGAAGTGGAGAAAGGAGAGATTCATTGCTTTAGGGCACTCAATGACAGGCTGCAGGATCTGAATTTACTCCACAAGCTGTGGGAAGTTTAGTGTAGTTTGTTACTGCTTTAGAGGGGATGGATGATGGTTTTTTTATTTTATTATGCAAGCATAATAATGGAAGACTTCAACTGAGGCACATTCTAAAGGAGGTGCAAGATTAAGATGCAGAATTTTGCAAAGGAGGTGGTCAGAAACCTGGTGGGTGATCTTTAAAGCACTGGTCCACATTGAGACTACAAGAATTGGAAGTAAGAGATCAGGGAACTTTTTTTTTTTTTAAGATTTATTTATTTTTAGGGATCCCTGGGTGGCACAGCGGTTTGGTGCCTGCCTTTGGCCCAGGGCGCGATCCTGGAGACCCGGGATCGAATCCCACGTCGGGCTCCCGGTGTATGGAGCCTGCTTCTCCCTCTGCCTGTGTCTCTGCCTCTCTCTCTCTCACTGTGTGCCTATCATAAATAAATAAAACAAAAAAAAATTTAAAAAAAAGATTTATTTATTTTTAGAAAGAGATGGAGTGCATACTTGTGCACAAGTGAGTAGGGGGAGGGGCAGAGGGAAGCAGACTCCCTGTTGAGTGTGGAGCACAGTTCGAGGCTCTATCCCAGGACCCTGAGATCATGACCTGAGTCAAAATCAAGAGAGTTCCTGGATATGGTGAGAGTTGGAATGTTTCCCTTAATCTCAAGAGACTACCTAAAGATAATGTGTGTCGTGGAGTTTGAAGAATGTAATGGCCTGGTGTCTGACTTCCTCCTGATGAAAATCTAAAGGGTAAGATAAAGGATGACTAGGTACTTTGATGGAGAATTGGCCTGCATTCCCAGAGTTCTTTAGAGCAAAGACTGTGTTGTGTTTCTTACTGTGGTAGATGTCCTGATGACCAGAAGACTTGTTCCTCCAGCCACTGGAAGTGATGCCAGCAGACAGCCCTCAACCATCAGTCCCCATGCGAACTGCTTTGGCCGAAGAGAGATAGCTGATGACTTGCTGGTATAAGGGTATAAAGCTCCAGCCTGCACCCCAACTTAGGACAACTCTGTAGCATCATCCCAGCTTCAGAACTCTCTGAAGATTGGCTGAGGCCTCCATGGAGACTGCAGCAAACCCTAACTTCTGCTGCTAAATGATTGTGCTTCTTTTCATTTTCATAGGTGCTGATCCCAAAAGCACTCCCTAAGAAACATCTTGCATGGTTATCTCCATTTCAGAGTCGGCTTCCCAGGAAACCTGAGCTGTAACACCTGTGGGCCTCAAAGGCCTCAAAGGAGTGAACCAGGGGATTATTTTGGATCTGAGCAAACATCAGCAGAGAGGATGCTTAATGTATCACTGGATTCCTTACAGCTAGGGAGGAGGCAAGCAACAGCCTGAACACAGCTGCACCAGCCTGGGTCAAGGGAAACGACGATGAGAGGTTTTCATTTACAGGAGAAGGGTCTTTGAAGAACTTACAAAAATACCAATGAGAAAAAAGGCCAACTTTAGCAGTTTACCAAGTCCAATGAGCACCAACATCCAGGTCACAGGAATGTCCATCAACGCCTTTCCTGTCTTCTCTCCCAGGCCTACAAACCTGGAGAGGCTGGAAGCCCAAGTGGGCAGTTGCAGGTCCAAGAACCCAAGACAGTGCAAAAGGAAAGAAGTCAACGCTACCCCTCCCCTAACTTTAAAGTCTAAAACGGTTTCCCCACCTTTTAAATTTTTTCCTATCACCTAAAGCCCATCCTTGCCCCCAATCCTGTAATACTCCTTCCCTTTATTTGGTGAGATGCCCCACAGTTCTCTGGGGTTCCGGCTCCAGAGTTCGTTGTTAGGGAAAAAAAAACAAAAACAAAACCTCACCTTGTCTAAAGATTGTCCCTGGTGTTCTCAGGCTGTAAAGGCTAAAAGCTGTTTCTTAGCTGGGACTCCGTCTTGCTGGTCATTCCAACCACTTGCAAGCTGAGGGGCCTCGAGCGAGAGGCGCACAGCACGCGCTCAACACTCCTCTCAGGTTTGCCAGCTGACCTCGGGAGAGGACCCCGGGGTCCGGGGCGGCAGAGGAAAGAAACAGCAGTCGCAAGGGCGGAGCAACAGGGGACCCAAGCTAGGGCTCACGGTGAGGCTCGCGCCCGTCAGGAGGCCTCTGGCGGGGTGAAGTGCTGACGGGAGCCGAGCGCGCTCGCCCGTAGCCCCGGACTCACTAGGTACTGGAGCCGCTCCCGCGGGAGCCCCGAGGCGCTCGCCCCGCCCCGCCCCGCCCGCCCGCCCGTCTCACGCCGCTCGCCCCGCCCCCTGAGCTCCGCCCCGCCCGTCGCACGCCGCTCGCCCCGCCCCCTTGAGCTCTCTCCCGCCCCGTGCTATTGCTCCGCCCCACCCATCTCAGGCCGCTCGCCCCGCCCTCTTTGCGCTCCGCCCCGCCCCGCTCCACCGCCCCGCCCCTTTGAGCTCTCTCCCCCCGCCCCCGTGCTTTGCCCACCCGTCTCAAGCCGCTCGCCCCGCCCTCTTTGCGCTCCGCCCCGCCCCTTGCGCTCTTTCCCGCCCCGCGCTGCTGCCCCGCCCCATCCATCCCGCCCCATCCATCCCGCCCCATCATCCCGCCCCGCCCCGCCCCGCCCCGTCTCTTTTGCGGCGATCCGCCCCCTCCCGGTCCCCCGCTGGGTAGTGGGGGCGGCCACGAGCGTGATGGGGACCGCCTCGTCGCTAGTGAGCCCCGCAGGCGGGGAGGTGATCGAGGACACTTATGGGGCGGGCGGCGGCGAGGCCTGCGAGATCCCGGTAGAGGTGAAGCCCAAGGCCCGCCTGCTGCGCAGCTCGTTCCGCCGCGGGGGGCGGCGGCGGCGGCGGCGGCGGCGGCGGCGGGGGCCGGGCCCGGGTCGCTGACCCGCGGGGCGGGAGGAGGCGGGCTGCTGGGGGCTAGCTTTAGGTCTACGGGTTCATCGGTGCCGGAGCTGGAGTACGCGGCAGCCGAATACGAGCGGCTCAAGAAGGAATACGAGATCTTCCGGGTCAGCAAGAACCAGGAGTTGTTGTCCATGGGCCGCCGCGAGGCCAAGCTGGACACGGAGAACAAGCGGCTGCGGGCGGAGCTGCAGGTACGGCCGGGCCGGGGGAAGGTCCGCGCACGCGCGCACGCCCGCCGGGTGCGTCTGGACGCTGACCGCGCGCGCCCTTCGTCCATCCTGTCCCCTCTCCAAGCCAGACGGTCTTGAAAGTTGAGTAGGAACCGCTCTGCGTTTTGATTGGAGGGGACATAGCCTCTTGGGGTCTAAACTGATTCCTTGACTAACCCCGCCCCTCTTCTGTTTCTGGTTCATTCATTCACTTTGAAGCGAGTAGCTTGAAGGTGTCCTGAAGCAGCAATTGCCAGTCTGCAGGGGACTCCAGGGCAAGTAGGTCGACCCAGAGCACACGGACACACACAAGACTTTGGTGACCCCTGTCGAAGCAACTCATCAGGCTTTCCCTAGGATTTCTTAACTTCACTCCTCGCCCCCCCCCACCACCTCTCAGTTTCTTTCTATGAAGCTTTTGAGTTTTGATAGTTGAAGTGAATTTTTATGGAAACCTGATTCTGACCATCTTAAACTGCTGTGACTGAAAACATTCCCTAGATGTAGTCAAATTCCCTTAATCCATTTGATTACTCAAAAATCAATGATTGCATAGCTCCCTGTAGCAGATGTATTTTGACTCATCAAAATAGTATACGAATCAAAAGGTTGCTTTTCTGTGAGCACAGTTGTAAGTAAGACTTTGCGCCATCAGTTTTGGGCCTCTATGAGGGTTGTGGTTTTACTGTTTTGTTAACTGTGGAAGAAACTTCCAGACACCCCGTGTTCCTGGGCTCATCACAGTAGAAACTGAATAAATATCTCAGGCCGATTTTTCTGATGAGAGCCTTTTTCGTCCTAGAAGAGGCATTCTAGCCACCTTCACCCCCACTAGCTATCGTATAATTAGCGTATAACTGTTATCAGGGAAGAACTCCTTGTCAGCAGTCTACTTGTGGTCTTACCAATTTTCCTACTGGGCAGTCTTGATGCAACTTGCATGTGTAAAATGGACTTAACACATCTCCGATACCTGATTTCATGCACCCAAGCCATTGTCCAGTGGACACTGCACATTGGAAATGACTGTGAGATGGAGATAGGAAAGAAGGCTGGATCAACCAGGGCGGAGTGCTGTTAAGGGCTGACAAATGTCACAGTCTCAGGTTCCTCCTCGTACCCTATGTAGTAGTTTTGAAAGCTGAGTAGAGAACGCTCAGCATTTTAACTTGAGGGAACATTCTCTTGGGGCCTAAACTGATTTCCTAACTCACCTGCCCCACTCCCGTTTTTATGTAGCCCTTTTGATTCCTTTCTCACATATCTAGGCACTAAAGAAACTCTTCTGTATTTATTTAATCCATTTAGTTAGATATTTACTGGAGGCCTTCAGTGTATCTGGCACCAAGAGGGTTCTGGGGATAGCAAAATAAAAAAGACATGGAGCCAAGGAGTGCATAGTCATGCAGAATTAATTATCCTTCAAGTTAAGCCTTACAAATTATACTTTTTGTTCTATTACAGATGGGAAAACTGAGGCATAGGGAAGATTAAGAAAAGATTAAGATTTCAAAGAAAAAATATTAATTTCCATTAAGTTTAATGTTTTCACTTACTACAGTTCAAGCATATTTGCATTTTTTATTACATGTTTGAATAAAACGGCAATATGTAGTTATTGATAATAGTAGATTGTTACAATTCTAAGATATTGATAATAGTAGATTGTTACAATTCTAAGATATATATGTAATATGTAGTAAGATCATGTAGAATTTGAGAGGAATACTATTTTTGTTAGAAATAACAAGGTCAATTATTTCAGGCCCTTCAAAAAACTTACCAGAAAATACTTCGGGAAAAGGAAAGTGCTTTAGAAGCAAAATACCAAGCAATGGAGAGGGCAGCGACATTTGAACATGATAGAGATAAAGTGAAAAGGCAATTCAAGGTAAATTCCTTATGTTTTTACCCCCAAAGTGAAATAGAATAAAAAGAACATATTTTAAAAGTTTATATAATGCTGCATGAATAAATAGAAGTGAATGATGTAGAAGTCTTGAAGGTTCTAAGAACAGAGTAGAACACTTCTTACGTTTTTGTGTTGGACCTGGTAAACTTGAGATCACTTCAAGGAAGGAGTAAAAAAGTGAGCATTGCAATAGGGCTTTGGGGGGAGGGGGAAGAAAAATATTTCTATATGGAGGGAAAGGCATTTGGAAATATTTGGGGATATTTTGTATGGGAAGGCATTACTGGCATCTAATGGGAAGGGGACAAATTTGCTAAACATCACCAGTGCACAAGACAGCCCCATGCCACAGACAGGACTCCTGCCCAAATTCCAGTGGGTTTCAGTTACAAAACAGTGAGGTACTTGGGCTATTTATCCTACAAAAAAGATCAGGGACCAAATGAATGTTGGTTTTATGAATGAAAGATTTTTCTGTTGAGTTGATGACACAGTCCTCTGATGATAGAAAAGGTTTCAAAATTAACATTTGTCTTTTAAAGATTTTTAGGGAGACCAAAGAAAATGAAATTCAGGACTTACTGAGGGCTAAGAGAGAGTTGGAGAGCAAACTTCAGAGGCTCCAGGCTCAGGGCATCCAAGTATTTGATCCTGGAGAGTCTGATTCAGATGACAACTGTACAGATGTTACTGGTAAATTTGCTTCCTATGTATAATATTTGAGCCTTCAATATAAGTGTGATGATACCGTAGAGCCAACTTTGAATCCTTTTAGTTATAAGTGGTTGCTCTTTATAAATAGAGTTGCACTTTCTCCTCCTTTCTCAGCTGTTATAACAGCAATTTTCTGTAAAGTCCATGACATTGTTAGGAGGCAGGTTTCCTTCTGTCTCATTGCCCCACCAGCCTCCCCCGATAGCATTTCTCTTCCTGGTGTAAGACAACTTCTCCAGGGACGGCTGGGTGGCTCAGGGGTTGCACGCCTGCCTTCGATTTAGGTCCTGATCCTGGGATCGGGGATGGAGTCCTGTATTGGGCTCCCTGCAAGGAGCCTGCTTCTCCCTCTGCTTGTATCTCTGCCTCTCTCGGTCTGTGTCTCTCATGAATAAATAAATAAGTAAATATTAAAAAAAAAAAAGACAGCTCCTCCAGGTCTCACCATAACATCTACATTTTAGCTGAGGGAGGAAGGATGGGAATACGTTCCTCTCCTTGAAAGCACAATCTGAAAGGTATACATATTACTCCTCAAACCCCATTGGCCAGAACTACAGGTAGAAAGAGTGGAAAGTGTAATCATCAGGAGAGTCACCTAAGTTTGAAATTCTGTTACTAAAGGAAGAAAGGAAGGATGGATATTGAAGACAGTTCATAGTCTCTGTCACATTACTTTTCTATGTAATGATATATTCTTTGCAACTGTCCATTAGAATAAATATCTGCATGATATTTTGCTGAGTGGCTTATAGTAGTTTCATAAACTATTCAAAAAGTTTTTATTTTATAATTAAACATACAAAACATTTTTTTCTATTAGAAATAAAGAAAAACCTGGAGTCCTAGAATGAAAGGGTCTACCATGTTCCAAGAAAATATTAATAAACTGTGATTGATACTGAAAAATGAAAAAGATTCCATTGTAGAGGGATCCCTGGGTGGTGCAGCGGTTTGGCGCCTGCCTTTGGCCCAGGGCGCGATCCTGGAGACCCGGGATCGAATCCCACGTCGGGCTCCCGGTGCATGGAGCCTGCTTCTCCCTCTGCCTGTGTCTCTGTCTCTCTCTCTCTCTCTCTCTGTGACTATCATAAATAAATAAAAATAAAAATAAAAGATTCTATTGTAGATACAGTGGGAAAATTGCTGTCACTCTCTCATTTATAGGAAACTGCATTTTATTTTATTTTATTTTTTTGAGAAAGAGCATGTGAGCATGTGAGTGGGAAGGGAGGGGCAGAAGGAAAGAGAATCTTAAGCAGGTCCCATGTTCAGCCTGGAGCCCAACTTAGGGCTCGATCTCATGACCCTGAGATCATGACCTGAGCCAAAATCAAGAGTCCAAATTTAACAGACTGAACCACTCAGGAGCCCTGTGCATTTTATCTTACAAACTGATTTTGAAGTGAAATATGGCATCTGATAATTGCCTCTTAATTTGCATTTTAGAACCCATTGGAATCTGACCAGCATCTAAAGATTTTTATTACTGACTTAAAGGGGAAAAAAAATGAAGTGATTGTTATTGGCTTTGAGTGGAGAATAGGAGGCTCTTATGCCCCCACATTAGTCTTAGTGGTTATATCAGTGATGACATATGTTAAAATGTACAGTGTTTTGAAACTATTATATTGTAATTGCCTTGGCAAATTAATAAGAACAAGGTAATATTTCCTTGTTTCGATATTTTGATTTAAACATGAAGAAAGAATTTTTGAGGGAACATCACTCATTTCACATTTAAAGACTTACAGATAATCTTATTTTTGCCAGAGATTGAGCCCGTTACAATATACTTATACTTAGTCAAGGATGCCATGTAGAGGGACACCTGAGTGGCTCAGTGGTTAAACGTCTCTCTTTAGCTCAGGGCCTGATCCACGGTCTGGGGATCAAGTGCCATGTCAGGCTCCCTGCAGGGAGTCTGCTTCTCCCTCTGCCTATGTCTCTGCCTCTTTCTCTGTGTCTCTCTTGAATAAATGAATAAATAATCTTAAAAAAAAAAAAAAAGGATTCCATGTAGATATTCTGACAAATACAGATTATTTAAAAAAAAAATCAAGGAGCGACTCGGTGGCTTAGTTAAGCATTGTACTTTTGATTTCAGCTCAGGTCATGATCACAGGGTCCTGGAATCAAGTGCCATGTGTGACTCCATGCTCAGCAGGGAGTCTGCTTCTCTCACTTTCCCTCTGCCCCTCCCCCTACTCACAGGTGCACAAGCACGTGCAAGCTCTCTCTCTCTCTCTCTCAAATAAATAGTAAATCTTAAAAAAAAAATCAAGATTTTTGTAAGTACCTGTTGACTCCAATGTTAATTTTGTTACTTTGGGCAGTTAAAGAGGTTGTACTTTTTACATCCTTAGCTTATATCCAAATGAATTACCAATCTTAATTATAGGTGTGCTAGTAATGATCTTCCTTTGAAATTCTCTTCTTCCAATTTTATGATGATACCTAAACCATAAAGTTAAAAATGTTGTTTAGAATTTTTGTATGGGGATATTTTTAACTGCCTCTGTTGTTATAGTTCCTTTGGTTATTATATTCTTTATTTCTTTTCATTTTTCTCTTTTTAATCCCCTCTGAATTTGAGATGATAATCAGAATTATGTTAACCAGCACCTTAGAATTTGCCAGAAATTGTGACAAAGTATTTACAAAATCATTAAAGATTGAATATTTGTTGTATTTATAATGTTATAGCATTTTATAAAATCAGAAATCATGTTTAGTATATGAGGCAGTTTTCTGAAAATTCGGTAATTTGGTTTAAACAAGATGAAATCTCTTGCATTTACAGCTGCTGGAACCCAATGTGAGTATTGGACTGGAGGAGCCTTGGGAAGTGAACCTTCCATAGGGAGTATGATCCAGCTCCAGCAGTCCTTCAGAGGCCCTGAATTTGCCCATAGTTCCATAGATGTGGAAGGACCCTTTGCAAATGTCAACAAAGGTAAACATGCCATTTGCCAGTTACCTTGGTAGTGATTGTTCATGTACTATGATCTTGTGTGTGCTAGGAGAAAAACCATCAGCAGCGCATGAGATTTATATTCTGGGTGTCTTCTACTGCCAAACCAGCATGTACTGGTGCTGTCACTGACCAGGACTGATTGAATTATATGATTCCCATCAGGATCAGATGGTGCTCTCCAGCCAGACTGGCCAATCAGGTTCTAAAAACTTAGCTTCTGGTCTGAATTCTAGGTGTTGCCATTGCTTAGTGAGAGTCTGTTGTAGATTAACTGAAAAACAGTAGTTTTGGTCTTTCCCTCTGCATCTTTGATGCTGTTCAAGGTTGGAGAAGGTTGCAGAATAGAATATAAAACCTCAGTTAAATGATGTAGTATCCATACTCAAAAGAATATTTTCATTATATAATTTGGTGTCTAAAATAGCTCAAAGATTTATTTAGAATTTTGATACCAGTGCAGATCTGAGTGTTAGAGTAGCCCCACTCTTTTTTCTTAAAACTGCAAAATTGTCTAAGCAAAATGAAAAACATTTTTAAATTATGCCTTTTGGATTAGCCAAATGTCTTAAAATGTTCTTTCTCACTAAACTTCATTTTATGCCACTCTTAAAGTTTCTTTTTGACTTAATATACCTCAAGAATAATTGTGTAACACTATAGGCCAGCCTAGGGGTGTAGGCTCTCCTGAAGTTGCAAACTCATTGAATAGCTCTTGTAAAATAGGTTCATGATATTTGACTGGAACCAGCAGTACCCCAGCATGGACCACAGTCAACATTGATTGCTTTATGCCCCACAATAAAATTTGAGGTTTGAGAACTGTTTGCCTTCTAATATGCTATTCCAGAAACTGTCATTAGTCACAAGTGAGATCACATTCCATTCTACATTGCCTGCTATGTTTTTTCAGACTTTTAAAAAACTCATCCTGTCAGATGTTTTTCTGGTGATGTTTTTTTCATGAACTTACGATAAATTTTATTTTCAGATGACTGGGATATTGCTGTAGCTAGTTTATTACAAGTTACTCCCTTGTTTTCACATTCTCTGTGGAGTAACGCTGTCAGATGTTACCTTATTTATACAGATGAAACCCGACCTGAAGTGGATCTTTTCCTTAAGGTGAGGATATTTATAAATTCTGTATTCACTGATTTAAAGGACAAGTCAGTATAGTGTCCTATTTCTGATACTACTACATCTAAACCAAGTAGCTTACTACCTATCAGATTATATGTCTTAAAAAGTAGGAAGAATTTAGAGCTTTTCTTAAGAGAAAATCTTGCTCAGCTTTATCAGTATATTCAAATTTAGTCCTTGGAATGTTATGCTTTTGAATGCTTTATTATACGTTCTCCACAGTGTGAAGACCTATGTTGATAGTGCCTGCTTTAGTTAATATCTGCCAGATTTACACTTGACTCTGTTTAAAGTCTTAACAAAATTTAATCCTTACCATGGTTTTTAATTTTTCAAGGCAGCCATTGGAGTTAACCTGAAGCAGAGGTAGGAATACTACAGTCTGTGGGCCAGACCTGGCCTGAAGCCTGTTGTATGACCCACAGCTGAGATTGCTTTTTACTTTTTTAAATAGTTGAAAAAAAAATCCAAAGAAGAAGAATGTTTTGTGACCTGTGAAAATTGTATTAAATTCAAATTTTAGTGTCTATAAATAAAGTTTTATTGGAACACAAGTAGGCTTATTCATTTATATACTATGACTGCTTCACACTACAACAGCAGAATAAATTACAGCAGAGACTAAATGGATCCCAGAGACCTCTGCCAAAACATCCAAGTTGTTAAGCTATTACTAATTTGTAAGAATATTTGCCTTTTACATAAAAAGTTTGCCGACTACTCTTCTAACTGCATTTGCAATAAATCTGCATGTAACATGTGATAACCTGCTCTATTAACATCTTCCAGGGTATTGAGTAATGAATCTGTTTAGCGTTCTTTCCTGATATTATTCAGTTTTGGTAAAAAGATAAAGTATTTTGAAAACCAAAGTTTATAGTCACTAACTGATGTAGGTTATTACCAAACCGATGTTGAGGGATTTACTCATTTATTGCATAATAATAAGTCATCATTACTTAGTAACCTAATTTGTTACAGACCAACATATTTTAAATTTATACCTGTTTGCTTTAATGTTCTAATATATCATGGTGGACAGTTTTTACTATATAGACTCAGGGATATATGTTTTCAACTCTTTGTAACAATAAAGCAGAAATCATTTGTTACAGTAATAACAATAATAAATACCAAAGAAAAGTAGCCTAATATTTTTCTTCATTGTTTTAGGCTTTATTATGAAATAAATCCTTTTCTGAGCTAGGGAAACAGCCACGTTACTAAGCCCTTATTAATTTTGTTTTAAGGGAACTTTGCCTTTTTTCTTAAAGATTTTCTTAAAAAAAAAAAAGATTTTCTTTAACGTATGATAATATATGTTTTTTAATTTTAAATAAAAAAAGTATAACATAACCTGTTCTGAAACATGATTTTTCATTTTAAGTAGTATGAAGCTGATTTGATTTTTACTTAAATAAGCTGTGTTTTTATTAATTTTTCATTTGTTTTGTTTTAATTTCTTTTTAGGACTATTCACCTAAACTTAAAAGAATGTGTGAGACAATGGGATATTTTTTCCATGCTATATATTTTCCAATAGATATTGAAAATAAATACCTTGCTGTAAGAAAATGGGAAATTGAGAAGAGTTCATTAGTTATTTTATTCATTCATTTAACTTTACCAAGGTAAGCTGAAAATTCTGTCACTCATTATGGGAATTGTAAATAGAATTGAGATTGCCAAATGAACTTCAAAAATAAGTCATAATAGCATTCTTTTTTTAAAACTTATTTTCATAATAGAATTCTTATAATCAAAACAATCCATAAAATTCAATAATTTTTTTTTATTTTTCATATATAAAGAATTAGAATTTTTACAGTTTGAGTTGTTAATTGGTCATAAGGGTAACATCATTAATGTAAAGATCGTTTTAATCAGGGGTAGCAAACTATGGCCCTTGGGCCAAATCCAGTGAGCTACCTGTTTTTATAAATAAAATTTTATTATAATATAGCTATATTCATTTATTTACGTATTTCTGCAGCTGCTTTCACACTACAATAGCAGAGTTTAGTATGGTAGTTACAACAGAGACTGTGTGGCCCACAAAGCCTAAAATACATGCTCGCTGGCCCTACCAGAACAAGTTGGCAACTCCTGATATCAACTATCAATGTTAACCTTCATAATTTTCTTTCTTCAGTACAAATTGAGATCTAGTTGAACACTTGTATAGATGTTAAATCAAATTTTTAATTCTCTGAGAAGCTTACCACTTAATTCCAGGAAAGTGAGCAATTTTCTTATAATGTGAATATAATTATACCAATGAGTCTAGTCTGCAAATAAAGATTTTTTTTTACCCAACTAGGTACATAGATAGAAGACAAAATATGTTTAATAAGAGGTTAGGTTTTCTTTCTGTGTTTGCTGTCTGATTGGATTTAACCCTTCCAAAGTATTTTTCTCTTTATTGAGGACCAGCTCAGACCTCAACTGTGTACAGACGTATATGGAGCTGTAGGCTTTATCAGTGACCCTGCAATGTAATCTGTCATTGATCCATAAGATTGTCCAATGGCTGGGGAGCCACTAGTCAATGAGCCTCAACCCAGAACAAGTTTAAGGACTCTTTCCACTAGATTGCCTTTAGTTGGAGTTCTTTTCCTTATCCCTTTTCTTTTCCTGTTTTTTTTTTTTTTCTGTTATATTTACTAAGGATATATTCTGTTTTATTATTTAATGTCTGAGTAGTGTTTTATCTCAGGTGGTAATATGTGTAATTTGTTGTTTTCCTCATTCTTTAATCCTTGAAACCATCTTGTTTTTTCTTTGTCTTTTATCCATATTTAGTTAATAAAATATTGTACATTATTTGTACACTTTTATTATTTTTGTCTTTCTCATCTTAAATTCCTCTTAATCTTTTACCCCTCATTTCTTTCATATTTTATTACTTTGGCAGATTTCTGTTTATCTTTTTTAACTAAAATTGTATTTATTTTATATTTTTAAAACTTTATTCTTCTTAAAGAATAAGAATTTTAATTCTAGAGGAGCCTGGGTGGCACAGCCAGTTAAGCATCTGACTCTTGGTTTCGGCTCAGGTCATGATCTCAGGGTCCTGAGATGGAACCCTGCATTGGGTTCATGCTCAATGTGGAGTCTGCTTAAGACTCTCTCTCCCTTTTTCCCTTCCCTTCTCCTCCACACCCTCCCTCTCTCTATCTGAAATAAGTAATTTTTTAAAAAGATAATTGTAATTTCTTTTTTTTAAAGACACATTTATTCAGCGTCATGATCAGACTATTACATTTAGCAATCAATAGCATGGGTGCAAAAAAAAAAAAATCTACATTAAAACCCTTTGTTGGAATGCTTTACACTTTCCACAGAACAGAAACTAAAATAACCTGTTCTACAATTAGTCACAAATACAGTCCTCGAGTTTTTTGCCCATACACATGAGTATTGTCTAAAACATGTCTTCTTTGTAGCAGCTAGGCCCTGCCACCACTGTGCTTGGCTGAGTTCACAAATCTGTTGTAACCTGTAGCTTCCCTGTCACTTCTCTGGCTCTCCTCTCCTGCTAAGCTTTGTTTCCTGGCAGTAATTAAAACCTTCTGCCACTGCCATAGCTGCTGCTGCTGCTGGAACCGCCATAGCCACCTTGGTTTCGTGGTTTGGCAAAGTATTGGCCTCCACCACCATAGGGGCCAGAGCTTCTGCCTCCAAAATTTCCTCCTTTCATGGGTCCAAAATTTGAGGATTGATTGTTGTAATTGCCAGAATCGTTATAGCTTCTGCCACCTCCAAAGTTGCTTCCGTCATTACCAAATCCGTTATAGACATGCCCACTGCCACCGTATCCACCACCACCTCGACTGCCACCGAAGCCACCTCCACCACTGAAGTTCCCTCCACGACCAAAGTTGTCATTCCCACCAAAACCACCTCCACGACCACCACCAAAGTTTCCAGAACCACTTCGGCCTCTTTGACTGGACGAAGCACTAGCCATCTCTTGCTTCGATAGGGCTTTCCTTACTTCACAGTTGTGGCCGTTCACAGTATGGTATTTTTGAATGACAATCTTGTCTACAGAGTCGTGGTCGTCAAAGGTCACAAAAGCAAAACCTCTCTTTTTGCCACTGCCTCGGTCAGTCATGATCTCAATCACTTCAATTTTCCCATACTGTTCAAAACAATCTCTTAGGTGATGTTCTTCAGTGTCTTCTTTAATGCCACCGACAAAAATCTTTCTCACAGTTAAGTGGGCACCGGGTCTTTGAGAATCTTCTCGGGAGACGGCCCTCTTTGGTTCCACGACTCTTCCGTCCACCTTGTGCGGCCGGGCGTTCATGGCCGTGTCCACCTCCTCCACGGTGGCTACGTGACGAACCCAAAGCCTCTGGAGCGCTTGGTGTTGGGGTCTCTCATTACCACACAGTCCGTAAGCGTCCCCCATTGCTCAAAATGGCTCCTCAGACTCTCATCGGTCGTTTCGAAGCTCAAACCTCCGATGAAGAGCTTCCGCAGCTGCTCGGGCTCTTTGGGAGACTCTGACTTAGACATGATGGCAGTGGGAGGGGAGACCTTAACGATGCTTACTCGGTGGCGTCCAGGGGCAGAAAGGATAATTGTAATTTCTAAAATTTAGTTATTTCTTTGCCTCTATTTGCCTTTATTTTGTTTTTTTCTTATTCCATATGCTGATTATTTTATTTCCTTATTGTTTACTTCCTGGCTGTCAAGAAGTGTGGTAGTAGCTGTGGGCTTCACACCATAAGCAGGACCTGGTAGAGCCTTTATTTCTCTTACGTTGTTCCTTTACTTCTCGTGATGATTCTCCCATTTTTCTCAAAAGATGAATCTAAAAATATGTCCCCTGACCAGTACCCAGTAGCCCCATCTACTTCTCTCCCACCAAAGACTTTGAACCAAATCTCAGATATCATGTCATTTTATCTGAGCTCCACATGTCAATTTTGGAGGGAGTGATTCTGAAATAGGAACATGTGCCAAACAGAGGCCCATTCTTTGGTATTCACATGACCACAAACTTTTTTCCTTTCCCAAGCAATAACAAAAGAACCGTTAAAATCCAAAAATTCTATAGTTCCTGGTCAGAATGATTTTAACAAGGAAAAATTCTATGGTTTGGATTGATTGGATTAGCACAGTGATATATAATAGAATGTTATTCTGTTTTGTATTGGGGCTGTATTTTAATATAGTATTTAAATTCTGAATCATGTAATAGCTCTCCTCTGTGTATACACTCTAACTCACCTCTCTAAACAAACTTCATTTAATGCTTTTTAGAAAGGGGAATTGGTTGCAATTTTCCTTGCAGTGTAGAAAACACTGGTAGATTATTCCAAGATTATTCTAGGATTTAAATTGGCATAGCAAAAACACTCAGTATGGTACCCTGTAGCAAAGTTAGAATTTTATTTAACCCTGTATCTCAGTTAAGATTTTTACTAGACATCTAATCTCCCCCATCTGCCTCTGGCCTTTCTTATGATGTATCTTGGGTATAAAGATTCAGGTCATTTAGGTCATTTATTAGATGAGAAAGGCCAAAGGACTAGAGAAGATTTCTCAATCTTGAAGCATTGGGTTGATAATATTTCTATTTTAATTTGGAAATTATATATTTGTTAGTTGAACTAGGTTTCCATTTATTTGCAAAGTTTCATGAGTCTGGTTTGTTATTTTGAGCCATGTTTACAGTATTTTTGAGAATTTTCTTTTTGTTGCTAGATTTAAAAATTAATGTTTGCTTTAAAATGCAATTTAATGTAGAATTTATTGTACCTGTTCTCACTGTCTGCTAATAAATGCATTATATTTTTATGACCACGCTGGAACAGAGCTATAAAACATCCATTTCTGGAAAGCTGCACTTGTTCTGTCCCTGGGCTGCTTCTGGCCCCTTGTCATTACTGTAAAGTCCCATTATTGACACTTAGGTTGATTGTTTGCTGCCATAGCTCAGTGTGGCACAAGAAATACTGATTTCCAATCTAGCCTTTTATTGGAAGACTGTGAAGAAGCCTTTCTGAAAAACCCTGAAGGCAAACCACGATTAATTTATCATCGCTTGGAGGATGGGAAAGTCAGTTCTGAGTCTGTCCAGCAATTGATTGATCAAGTTTCTAACCTGAACAAGACCAGCAAAGCCAAGGTAAAATTCATGAGGTTATTTTTGTTAAGAATTTGCTTGGCCAAGGGAAGTGGTAGAACAAAGACCATGTGGTGGGAGTGAGTGAGAGGAGACTAATATGATAGTTAACTGGGAGCCCAGGGTGAAGAACCTTGGAGACCATTTTAGAAACCTTGTATTTTTTTCACTTGGAGTGAGATGGTTTCTTTACTTGGAGGGTTTTTTTTTTTTAATTTTTTAAAATTTATTTATTCATGAGAAACAGAGAGAGAGAGAGAGAGAGGCAGAGACACAGGTAGAGGGAGAAGCAGGCTCCGTGCAGGGTGCCTGACATGGGACTCGATCCCAGGTCTCCAGGATCACGCTCTGGGCTGAAGGCAGCACTAAACCGCTGAGCCACCCGGGCTGCCTGTTGTTTTTTGTTTTTTGTTTTTGTTTTTTTTTTTTTTAACTTGAGTCATTGGAAGACTTTAAGCAACAGCAGAAGAAATGCAATTCTGACAAGGATGTTCTTTTACACTGCTATATTGAGAATTGATTGGTTTGGAGGGTAGTGGAGGAGGGCAGAGTTGGAGAGCTCTTGCAATCAGGTGAGAGATGCTGGTGGGTTAGACCAGGGTGGTGGTAGCGGAAGTGATGAGAAACACAAATCTGGATAAATTTTGACAGCAGAGCCAATAGGCTTAGTTGTGGACTGTGAGAAAAAGAGAGGAATAAATTACAATACACAGCTACAAAGGGTATGATCTGTGAGTGGACAAATCAGATTCTTTTCTGTTCTTTTTTCTTCCTAAGTATAGAGTTCTTCTATCTTCTGTTGACCAAGGATCAGTGTAAGAAAGAGCCTTTTCATGGTAAACTTTACTAAGAGCATTGGGAAAAGCAAAACAGTAATGATGAATGTGAGAGATTTGATCATTCTTAGACGCATAGTGGAATAATTTTTAGAATGAAATTGCAGGCTTTGCCTTACTGCACACTGAGATAACTTGAAATGCTTACTGTTAATGTTAAGGATACAGTTGAAGGGCACCTGGCTGGCTCAGTTAGAAGAGCATGCAACTCTGCATCTTGGAGTTGTGAGTTCAAGCCCCATGCTGGGTATAGAGATTGCTTAAAAATAAAATCTTTTTTTTTTTTTAAAAGAATACAGTTGAAAACAACTCAGATGTTGTTTTGTTTTTGTTTTTAACGTTTTATTTATTTATTCATGAGAGACACAGAGAGAGGCAGAGATATAGGCAGAAGGAGAAGCAGACTCCCTGCAAGGAGCTGGATGCGGGACTTGATCCCAGGATCACAACCTGAGCTGAAGGCAGATGCTCAACCACTTGAGCTACCCAGGCGTCCCACAACTCAGATTTTGACTGTTTTTATTTCTCTGTGCTCATTCAAGAAGTAAGATCAAAAGTGAACAGAAGCATTATTTTACATTCATTTAGTGTTGCAAAGCTTATGACCAGCATAACATTAAAGAGCCTAACACAAGAGATCCCTGGGTGGCACAGCGGTTTGGCGCCTGCCTTTGTTTTGTTTTTTTTTGTTTTTTTTTGTTGTTGTTATTTTTATTTATTTATGATAGTCACACAGGGAGAGAGAGAGAGAGAGAGAGAGAGAGAGAGAGGCAGAGGGAGAAGCAGACTCCATGCATGCACCGGGAGCCCGACGTGGGACTCGATCCCAGGTTTCCAGGATCGCGCCCTGGGCCAAAGGCAGGCGCCAAACCGCTGCACCACCCAGGGATCCCCTGGCGCCTGCCTTTGGCCCAGGGCGCGATCCTGGAGACCCGGGATCGAGTCTCATGTCAGGCTCCCTGTATGGAGCCTGCTTCTCCCTCTGCCTGTGTCCTGCTTCTCCCTCTGCCTGTGTCTCTGCCTCTCTCTCTCTGTGACTATCATGAATAAATAAATAAAATCTTTAAAAAAAAAAAGAGCCTAACACAAAAAAGTGTATTTTTTTTATAATCTCCAGAATTATTTCATTCTTTGCTTTATTTTATTTATTTATTTTTCTATAAAGATTTTATTTATTTATTCACTATATATATATATAGGGAGAGAGAGGCAGAGATACAGACAGAGGGAGAAGCAGGCTCCATGCCAGGAAGGAGCCTGATGCTGGACTCAATCCCGGGACTCCAGGATGGTGCCCTGGGCCAACGGCAGGTGCCAAACCGCTGAGCCACCCAGGGATCCCCTCTTTGCTTTATTTTAGTATGAGCCTGGTCCACTAGGCCCCAAGAGGCAAGATACTGATTCTTCTTTCTGATCTTTAACCTATTTATAAATGGCTTTAAAAATTAATACACGGGGATCCCTGGGTGGCTCAGCGGTTTAGCGCCGCCTTCAGGCCAGGGCGTGATCCTGGAGACCTGGGATCGAGTCCCACGTTGGGCTCCCTGAATGGAGCTTGCTTCTCCCTCTGCTTGTATCTCTGCCTCTGTGTGTGTGTGTGTGTCTCATGAATGAATAAATAAATAAAATCTTTTAAAAACTTAATACACTAGAAGGATGAATTTATTTTATAAAAATAGTAAAATAAGATCTGTCTACCATGATTATAAATGGAAATACAGGATAAACTTTCATTCTGTTTCACTTGCTATGCTTTGTAAAACCATTGCCTTACTCTAATTTTATTGAATATTAATCAGTTATTAGCAACATACATGTTCTCTACAGGTAGGGTAGTCTTTTGGCAGATTTAGAAGACTACTGTTTAAAAAAAAAGAAAGAAAGAAAAAGGAAGACTACTGTTTTACATAGCCAAATACCATTTTGCCTTTTATTTTGTAGAATTATAGTTTTACTCACATAAGAATTGATTTTGATATATTTCAAATGTTATATATATTGAGTGGTATGAAATACAAAATACAGAATTTGAACACATAAGGGAAAAAAGTATACTTTTTGTATTATTGTGGCATTGTTCCCACTGTTCACAATAAATACCTCCTGTGACCTCCAGCATATTACATAATTTGCTTCAGTTTCCTCTTCTGTGAAACGGAGGTAATAATAATAATAATAATAATAATAATAATAATGTCTCTAATGTTACAGAGTTTGAGGACAGATGAACTACTATGTACAAAGTACTTAGAATAATCCCTGACATACAAGTTCTATAGAAATATTTACCTCTTACTGTTACTATTGTTTTCTTCATGTTCTTGTTGAACTTTCTTTTTTCCAGATCATTGATCACTCTGGTGATCCTGCAGAAGGAGTATATAAAACTTATATTTATGTGGAAAAGATTATTAAACAGGTAAAAAATGCATTCTTTATAAATTTTCTCTGAAATACTCTAAGGGGCATCTGGCAGGCTCAGTCAGTAAAGCATGCAACTCTTGTCAATATGCCCCATTTTGGGCATAGAGCCTACTTAAAAAAAACTCTAAGACTGTTTTCCATAAAGTTGGGTTTTCCAGTAAAAACAGCTTCCTTGTTTTTTAAAAACAATACCTGGGGAGTGTGCCATTGTTTCTGGTGTTTGTCTATTCTGTGGTATTATCATAGTATTACTAGCACCGTGTATCTTTATCTGTCCTCTGTCTCACAAAGCTATTTGATGCCTCAACACCTGTTAAGTGTAAAATAAATTACAAAAGTGCTAGATAAGAAGTATAAGTATTTGAGGGAAAATATTTATCTTATTCAATAGTCTCCTCAGGTTTTATGTACACCTTGAATTCTTATAAATTAGAAAAACCTTTTTAGGGGTGTCTGGGTGGCTTAGTTGGTTACATGTCCATTTCAGCCCAAGTCGTGATCTCAGGGTCATGGGTTTAAGCCCCACCTGCACTCCATGCTGGGTGTGGAATCTGCTTTTTTTTTTTTTTTTTTTTTTTGGAACCTGCTTAAGATTCTCTTTCTCCCTCTCCCCTTCCTCCCCAGCTCACCCACCCCACCTCTAATCACATGTGCATGCGTGTACTCTCTCTCTAAAAAAAAAAAAGGAAAAAATATTTTTCAGATATATCCACTACTTATCCTTACAACAGGTAAGGATAAAATCACACCTCTAAGGTCTGAAGTAATGGATCATAGTATCACAGACTGAAAATTTCTATGATATCTCAAGTGTTATCTTTCAAATTTATGTAAGTTATATATTCTGCTTAATGTTATATCTGTGTTTATTTTTAATAAAAAATGTTTTAAATTATTTATTATCAAAAATCTAATCCTAATAAGAAAAAGAACCCCTCCACCTTAAAGTAAAATGAGCACAATAGAAAGACGTACCACATATAACCTGTGGTTGTCCATACCTGCTGACACCTCCTCCAAGGTACCAGGGATTCTATTTGAGAAGTTAGGGATTAGATTACTTTTTCTAATTAACTTGTATTACAAGTATGGAGACTTGTTATCAGAAAAAAAAGAATGAGTCCCCAAAAATAATGATATGACTTCTGGCAATGCATTTAGTATAGTGTTCTTTAGTATAAAAATTGACATCAATTTTGATTTTCTCAACAATTTTGTGAATTTTAGGATCCAGATAAATAAAATTGAGTACAATAAATAACAACAAGTGAAAATGGATGTATTTGCCATCTTTACTGCTTGAAGAACAACATATTCCCAGTGATATAAAGACAATATAGAATGATATAGATATTTGATATCAAGAAAACCCATCTTAGTAATTAAATTCTTATAAAAATGTAAAGCAGCATATTTCTTACACATGAGTGCAATCTTTATGATTATTCAACTGCCAGATATAAGCAAATATATTACATAACATTTTTCAGGAAACAGATCCCCAAGAGTTAAATGCCCCTCTATTTTTATCAGACAGTTTTTGGGGTTTTTTTGTTTTTGTTTGTTTTGCTTTGTTTTGTTTAATGTAAGCTCTATACCTGGTTGGGGCTTGAACCCATAAACCACAAGATCAAGAGTCACATGCTCTACTGACTAAGCCAGCCAGATGCCCCCATTGCACCTCTATTTTGAATAAAAGAGGTTTTTTTTATTAAGAGTTTTGTTTTTTCGTGTGTTTGTCATTTTAATATTTATTTCTAAACTAATGTTTTTTTATAATTACAAATTTATTCTTGTAGGTACTAACCAAAGGCCACAGGTTTGGACTTGCCCTCCACAGTAGGTGAAACCCACCTTAGGCCTGTGTGCTAACACTGCTACAAGGTGTTTACATTCTTTATTCATTTTTGTGTGCTTTCTCTTGATGTTCAGGACATCTTGGGCTTTGAAAACACAGACCGGGAGACTAAAGATTTGGGCAGTGAAGATTCTATTCCAGAAGAAGATGATTTTGGCGATGTTCTGTGGGACATACATGATGAGCAAGAGCAAATGGAAACTTTTCAACAGGCTTCAAATTCAGCCCATGAGTTGGGATTTGAGAAAGTAAGCATTTGGAGTATTGTTCCAATAAATATAAGTCACCACTTAAGGCTCTATCATGATTGTATTTTTACCTAAATATAGTCAAGGTTAATAATTGTGTTAGTGTTTGTCCTCATGGCTTGATTATCCATTTGAGACATGTGCTTAACTCTGTATTATATGAAAGATAAGTGAGATTCAGTTATATTTATGAACATCAAACATTTTTAGTTAAGATTACGATTTATGGACCACATGTTCTTTATGCTGCCATCAGCAGTTCACCAAACCAAGATTAGGGTAGCTAGGAAACTTGATAAAAATCATAAGGCTATCAAAAAAAAAATCATAAGGCTATCTATTCTTCCAGTGCTTAGGGAATCAAAATATCAAACATTCAGAAAACACTACAGTAGTTAATGCAATAGGCTGATCAATTTATCAGCATTTCTTAAAAAATCTAACAAATTACAAAATTTGAGTATCACAGAAATCTATGTCAATTTCATACAAATAATAATATTTAAAAATTAATGTTAGAATGCATGTTTTGTTTTTTTAAGAGTTATTTTATTTGGAGAGAGAGAGCCGCAATGAGGTTGGGCAGAGGGAGAGGGAAAAGCAAACTGGGCTAAGCCCAGGAGCCTAATGGGGAGCTTGCTCTTGATCCCAGGACTGAGATCATGTACTTGAGCCAAGGAGATGCTTAACCGATTGAGCCACCAGGGGCTCAGAATGATTTTTTTTTTTTTTTAGATTTTATTTATTTATTCATGAGAGCACCACAGAGAGCGAAGCAGAGGGAGAAAGAAGTCGTGGAAGGAGCCCGATGTGGGATTTGATCTGGGACTCCAGGATCGCGCCCTGGGCCAAAGGCAGGCGCTAAACTGATGAGCCACCAGGGATCCCAAGAACTGAATGTTTGACAAGGAATATTATCATAGCTGTTCAGTAACAGTGGTATTTTCATAGAAATTTTATACTTGTCGGCTGGCTTTATTCATGTCCTGGTGCTTCCATTTGCAAATTGGATTTTGACATTACTTGCTCTGAACTTTGACTTCCTTGTCTGTAAAATGGAGATCGCTGAGATATTTCCTAGCTTGACGCGTTGTTAGGAGGATAAACAGATAAAATTCATAACGCTGGCAAAGTACCTGCCAATGATAATGTTGTTTATTTATAAGAGAGGCATTGTTATCGTTTCATAAATAAAAGAACCTACGGTTTCATATTAAGTTTGCCTAAGATACAATGGAGTAGAGTATTGATCTGGGATTTTGACTAGGGTTTCTGGCTCTATCCTATGCTCTGTTTCTTATTGGGAAACAGTGTCTATAAAAGGTTTCTGTGTGACCTATGAAGTAAATTGTTAGGATTTACAGTCCTAAATCAATAAGTCTTTACTTTCTGAGGAGCATCATTGCTTTCATAATAATTTGAGTTCCTGAGGACATATATTCTAAATCTATATAGGGCAAAAAGAAAATTTGTTGATAAAAATGTACAAATAATTGTTTTTGTAGTTTTGGAAATTTCTACTACCCTAAAGCTAGTTACAAACTATATTGTTACAAAATTCGCTTTAAAATTCTTATCAGCTGTCATTTAGACCACTGGCACACTTTTACATGAACATCTCAACCCCCACGATGACCCTTTGCCGTCTCTAATAAGTACTGAGGTTATTTTGGTTTTTGAGTGTGTCCTTTTCGTCTCTAAACAGTTTTTTAGTGGTCTGGGAATAAGCCTAGAGTCTATTGTTTCTTGGGACATGGCCGGAGCTCACTCAATTGCAGAATGATCTCAGGGCAGCTCTACTTGACCTGATATCTTGTAGTAGGTTGGGAGGACGAGATAACGGGCCAGACAAAAACCTGTTCTTGTTTGGACCTATTCTCAGAAATCCCTGGAAAGTGAGGTAGTGTCTGGGACAGGTGTTCTGCCCAAGAGGCTGAGGATGCTTGCCAGCACCCTCAAAGCCTTCTGTGGTGCTTTCTGTGGTTTAGAGGATACAGGGTAATAGAGTGGCCTCCCTGCAGCATTCTGAAAAATCTGAATGTTGCAAAACCCAAAGGAGATCTTAAGTGTTGTCTCATCCATTAATTTATAGCAGTACTATGTATAAAAGAAATTGGGACTCATTTCTTAGTTTACTACTTTGGGCACACTTAACCCGCCATAAAAATAAGCAATCATGAGGATGCTGTTGGCTACAAGTAGATTTCCTTTTCTCATGCAGCTTTTCTCTAAAGATTTCAGAGGATAATCAGAAGTTGACTCTAGTATTCTAAGAGGTGTGTGCTTCCTCACAATTTTAATTCATTTTTGTTTCTAGTATTACCAACGCCTTAATGATCTAGTGGCAGCACCAGCACCAATTCCACCGCTTCTGGTATCTGGAGGACCAGGTTCTGGAAAGTCCCTTCTCTTATCAAAGTGGTATGATGCAGTACAATTACATTGTTTTGTGTGTGTGGTTTTTGTTGTTTTTTTTTTTTTTTTTTACAATTACATTGTTAGTACCATTGTTCTCATTTAAATTACTGAACTCATTTGACAAAATGTATTATTACCTATCTGCTTTCCTGCATGGCCTGTAATAAACATTAAAAAAGCAAAAAGGTATAAAATAATAGACGTATGCCCGGAAGTGTATACAATATGGATGTTAGGATACAGAATGAGAAAGGAATAGGAAATAGGAGCATTTGTGATTATGTACATTAATTATGTATGTCAGAGCTAAGCATGGGCTATGTAAGGGAGTGGTCAGCATGGAATGAATTAGGTGAACTATATATATACAGGGGATGTGCCTTTGTTTTCAGTTATCGACTTCATCTTAAAAGTTTCACTGAAAAGAAAAGTTTCACTGAGATTTTAAATATTTGAAATAAGGCAAAGACCGAGTGTATAGTGTGAAATAAGTCATAAAGAACATCAGAATAAAGGATGACCTGTATTATGAATGCAAAGTCGTTCTTCAGATTAGGGACTAAAGTTTATAGAAGCTGATAAACTCTTTTTTATTTTCATTTTAGCTGCTATTATTTAAAAACAGTAAGAATATTTTCTTTCATAATTATGATCTTCGTTGAAGAGTGAGCATTTGTTGTTTCCTTTTTTCCTGCCCTTTTATTTAATGGAAAATAATACTTTTTGGAAGGTAATATTTTTGTACTTAGCAAAGAAATATCTTTTTTCCTCTAATAGCATATTTTCAATTAAAGGGTATGCTCATTTCGCTAATTTTTTAACCTTAAATGTACACTATGTTGGTTTCTACAAGTTAATATCAATTTGTAATCTAAATGAATCTATAATTTTTAAAGGTTTATTTAAAAGGATCTAAAAGCGGAATAAAAATGGAAGTTCCCATGTTTATTGACCATGTGATTGCTGACAGTTGGGTAGCATTGATGTTTAATGCATTGTGAATTCTTTTTTTGTTGGTAATAAATGAGCTTTATCAGTCTTATAAAAGGTCTTTTTCTTTCAGGATTCAGTTACAGCAAAAGAATTCCCCTAACACGTTAATTCTTTCTCATTTTGTGGGAAGGCCCATGTCAACCAGCTCTGAGTCCTCCTTGATTATTAAACGACTAACTCTAAAGGTATAAGATGCCATGGTTTGAAATTATCAGAATTTTTATTTGATTCAGAAATTGTTGGGGCTAAGTACCCAGTAATTTTCAATTTTCAGTATTACCCCGTTTGTTTTCCACCAGCTGTGATAAAGCATTAACTCCTTGCATTCGTATGTGTTCTTGTCTTGCAGTTGATGCAGCACTCTTGGTCAGTATCTGCTCTGACGTTGGATCCGGCCAAGCTTCTGGAAGAATTTCCACGCTGGCTAGAAAAACTCTCTGCCCGTCACCAAGGCAGCATCATCATCATTATTGATTCTATAGATCAAGTTCAGGTACGGTTTTCACTTTGTAACCTATTAATACTCTCAGAAAGAAAATTATCAGTAGTGGCTATAGCAAGCATTTAAATATATTTATGAGAAGAAAATGCTGATGTTGTTTCTGTTATTTCTGCTGAATCTTTAGGGAGGAAACACATCAATAAAAAATGTAACATATGCCAATAGGCATTGGTATCTTATTGGAAAAGACCAATTGAATGAACCAATCAATTAGCAAAAATTATTCATTTTGACAGACTTTTAGGGCCTTGACTTTTCCTTAAATGTCCAGAATTCATATCAGCTATAATGGTATTTTCCCACTTGTTCTTTTAATATTCTGAGATAAATTATCTAAAAACAGGATTTTATCAATAATAATGAGAAACTCAATGAGAATTTCATTTTATTTGGGGAGCTCTTATCGGGTTGTTTTGAAATATTTTGAATTAATAGAATGAATTTTGTTTTTATATTTTTAAGCAAGTTGAAAAACACATGAAATGGCTGATAGATCCACTGCCAGTGAATGTAAGAGTAATTGTTTCTGTGAATGTAGAAACATGCCCTCCAGCATGGAGGTACGATGCTAACTTTAGTTCTTTCAGGTTACATGAAATGTGTTAAGTACAAAGAAGGAAAGGTTTTGGGTATGTGTTTGTGTTTTTATGTCTTTCATGTGAGTGGCAGTGAGGAGTGAGAGAAGTGAATGAATTCCCAAGAAAGATATATTCTACAGACTTTGGTGGGAGGTTAGAGCTGGGATGTCAAGGAGAGGAAGGCTAGATGGCCCCCAGATTTCTGGCTGGAGAAATTAAGTAAATTGCGGATCCATGAACTGAAATAGGGAACCAAAGGGTGGGCAAGTTTGTGGAGGAAATGTAAGTTTTGTTTTGGGACCTGGTTAGCTTGAGTTGCCAGTTGTACCACAAGCTAGCAATGGCTATCAGGCAATTACATTTACAGGTGAGGAAAATAAGGAGAGGGCCAGGCTATGAGTAATGCTCCAGACGCCTGTTATCCTGAAACATGCGCTTATTTCGGCAGTCCTCAAAAAAGGGATACAGTGGTTGAATTCTGAAGGGCAGTGTTTCTCAACCTATTTTTGTCCCCCACAAGAGCCTTTTTAGACATTTTCTTCCTAAGCACTTATTTTGCCCCAAGGATTTTAATACCATCCATATGCTATATATCGTATATCATATATACCATCCATAAGCTATAAACATATATATGTTTAGTTTTATTGCTTGTATAGAACATAGAACTGAAGGTGTTTTGCCACTTTGCTACCTAACATATATGCTATTTAAAAGTCTTTGTTGGGATTAATTGCTGAAAATAACGACATACAGGTTAGAATGAATCAAATAAATATTACCTAGTGAGATTAACAGAGTTTAGTCTTGTTTATTTTATAAGGCAATGAAAAAATTTTGACTTGTCTTTGGGTAGGTTACAGCTTTTATTATCTTATTAGAAGAGAATTTCATTTTTTTTTCTTTGAATAAAAGGTTGTGGCCTACACTTCATCTTGATCCTTTAAATCCAAAAGATGCGAAATCTATTATAATTGCAGAATGCCACTCTGTGGACATTACATTGAGTAAAGAGCAGGTAAGTCTTTTTAATTTTGCTGCTCTTTTACTCTCTGTCAGCTTTCCCATAAAACACCTCATGTGAGACTTAACATTCAATATAGGAACTCTCTATTGTGTTAAGGAAAATTGGAGTTTACTAATGGTTAAACGCACTTGCTCATAAACTACTAACAAATGATAGAAGACGTAATAAAAAACATTTTGGGCTTAAGTTTAAGTTTCTTATATTAAGCAGGAAATTTTTTTTAAGATTTTATTTATTCATGAGAAACACAGAGAGAGGCAGAGACATAGGCAGAGGGAGAAGCAGGCTCCCTGTGGGGAGCCCAATGCAGGACTCCATCCCAGGACCCCAGGATCATGCCCTGAGCCAAAGGCAGATGCTCAACCACTGAGCTAACTACCCAGGGATCTCAAACAGGAATTTTTAAAAGCAAAAGAACATATATACACATACCTACTGAATCTGTGGTCCACCACCACATGGCAGCAATGCCACTGATAAAGTGGCAGGAACCATGTCATTTCTGCCAGGGCTATTTGTTGATGGCTCCCTAGTAAAGACCGTTTAATTCCAGGGTGGTCTTGTTTTTTTTTTATGTTTGTTTTGTTTGTTTTGTGTTCTGGTAAACTGGTGCAGGAGAAGAAGCTAGAACGACACTGTCGTTCTGCTACAACCTGCAATGCCCTTTATGTCACCCTTTTCGGCAAAATGATCACACAGTAAGTAGTGGCCATTTTACATGATCTGCATGTGTTGTGTTTGCTGCAGACTGCTTCCCCACCTTGTGAAACTGAGAATGATCCTTGCGACAATCGCTTTCAGCCACTCACATCAGATTGTGTTGATTCTAACCGTGATACTAACATCCTATGAGAATGAGACTCGTGACTGCAGATTGATGATAGCCCATGAATTATGAGAACTTGTTGGACATAATTGTCTAATTTTCATCACACTAACCATTTCCCTGTCAGGGGTTGCTAGAGAAGGCCATCTGTGCCCTCATTGGGGACCCATGAGTGCTCCTTGTTACCTGCTTGAGGCCCCTAGCTTTGGGAAAGTGAAGGACAATTGAGGCAAACACATGCCATTTTGGGTGTCCTTGCAAATTAGTAGGTAGGTATGTAGTTCCGATAAACCTTTCATCTTAAAATAGATTCTTGTTTCAGATGCCCATTAGTCATTTGCCTTTAGATAAGCCTTACAAAGTGTAACTACACTTATTCTTCACTATAGCCTCACCTTACTTTGTCTCTTCACAACCATGAGGCAAAAAAAAGATGAATATGGTTTTGGTGATCATTGGAATGGACAGTAATCCTAGTACAATTCATATTCTAGCCACTGAATCTAGTGCTCTTGGCTCTTAATTCCACCTTCTCATCTTGAGCACCAGATCTGAAATGAAAACATCTGAAATTTTTAATTGCCCATGGTATTCGCACTGTCCTCTTCCACTGTCTCCCGTTTGGCAGTGTATCTGGCCTCTGGCGAGCATCAGGAGCTTGCCTAAGTACAGTTCAAGAGTGTGAGTCACTGTCCACACATTTCATAATATTTATTGAATTTAACTATTTTAAGAGTGTCAACACAAAATGAAGAAACCTAGAATCTCTGTAAATAAAGAGTCTTATTCGAGCCCAAGTTAGGACAGCTGCCAGGAAAACACATGGGAAACACACTTTCTTCACAGGGAAGAAAGTACTCTGGAGAATCAACAGTTTTTAGTTATATACCTTTTTTTACATCTTGTAAAAGCTCAAAAGATTGTAGATTAACATATAGGCAGGAATCATGCATTTTTAACATTCAAAGAATGCAGGGGGTAGGAGCATTGACCCGTATCTCAAGGACAAGATGGTTTTCCTTTAGGCTACTCATTTACAAGGCAGATGGACAGTGTATGCTTGGTGGATCATAAATCAGGCTTTTGGTTTAAACAAAATTTACATACAGTCATGCTGACTTAGAAATCTGAAATGGCTTCCCATAGATAATAAATCTTTAGAAAATTTATTAGGCCTGTAGAGAGGGACTACAGACCTTTTGTTTGTTTTTTCTTCTTTACATATCTTCATATTTAAAAAAGAAACTACTGGTAAATATTGTGTAATATTTAAAAACAAACTACCCTATTTACTGATTTTCCTGTAGCCTGATGTTCCCTAAATCCTGTCTCTACACAAATTTAACTTGCATGGCTAACTAATGACATTTATTTATAATTATTTTCCTGCTTCCTGTATGTAGGTAGCATGTTTCTAAATGATTAGAACTATGTCTTACTCATTTCTGTGTTCCATAATGTGCAATAATTGATTGATAGATAAGTCCTTATCATGTGTTTATACTGGAGTTAAATGGTACACTAGAATAAAATTGATGACTCTAGCAGCCCTGTAACACTATCATTTTCCTGTATCATGTTTTATTGAATTTGTTATCATTTGAAGTATGAAAAATAGAGACCACATTGTTTTTATCTACCCCAAATTTTTCACAGATGTTGGCTGTCTATAAGAAATTAAATCTATTCTCAATTCCAACAGTGCTGGGAGAGCAGGCAATTTAGATAAAATCCTTCATCAGTGTTTCCAGTGTCAAGATACTATTTCATTATACAGACTTGCTCTGCGATCTATCCAGGAGTCCATGGCAAGTGATGTGGATAAAGAACTAATGAAACAGGTAATGGATAATAAACTTATAAAACTCATGAAAGTTTGCATTTGTGTGTGAATTGAAGTAAATAGTAACTATTTTTAAATTTGTGCTTAGTGTGTTTCAAGCGTATATGGGAATGCTGGCTGCCATAGATAGTGTGCTTATGGCCAGAAGTGATATCTCAAGAAATTTGCATTTTCCTGATTATCATTGAGATTTTTCCTCTGTTCATGTTTATTGGCCATTCTTGTTTCCTCCTCTGTGAATTGCTGATTCAAGCCCTTTTACTTGAACTTTAATTGAATTGTCTTTCCTTACTGATCTCCAGGAGCTCTTAAATATTCTGCATACTGAATATAAATCCTCTGTTACAGAGTTTGCAAATAAATATATTTTTCCAATTGTTTCTTGTCTTAACTTTCTGGTATCATTCATTATACAAAGTTTTATTTTTATGAAGTCAGATTTATCAACAGTTTTCTCTTATGTTTTTATGCCTGTTATATCTTACTTTAAAAATCTTTTATTTTCAAAAAAATATTTTATTATCACAAAAATGTTCTCATATGTATTTTTTCCCATTAAAATGTTTTACAGTTTTTGTTCTTCCTATGTAAGTTCTTATCTTGTGGATTTAATTTTGTTTATTGTGTGAGGAATCTTTTATCATTTGGCTAGCTAACTTTTCATTTCACCAAATAGTACATCTTTTCTGCTGATTTGGATATCACACTTAGAAATTAACTTGAGTTTGTCTTCTGAGCTCTTCTGTTCCAGTTTTCTTCTTCCTTGCCAACACCACAATGTCTTAAATATTAGAGTTTGACAGTAAGCTTTAATATGTGCTTGGTCTGTGAGCCGATGTTTTCTCATGCACCCCTTTACTGAGAGAGTACAGCTCTTGGGATTCCTGGTATTCACAAGCTTTCTAATTCTAACTCCTCACCTTACCAGGTTTAAGGGCGGCTCACCTTCCATCCCTGCTATGGGTATGAAAACCCAAGCCCTTAATTACTGGGACTGCTGCCTATTCGGGACCCTCCCTTCCCCCAGGAACAGCACCCCAGCACTTAGCCCTCTAATGTTCACTTTCCTATTCATTTTTGGCACCTGGGGGATTTCCCTTTCATTCTTGCAGGCCTACCTGTGCTTTTTTAGAGATATTTTGTTAGATGTTGTCTTATGTTAATGGGCATTTATAGTAGAAGGACCATTTTCTTATACCATTTTTCCCAAATTGGAACTTTGTCGTTAGTTTTAATCCATTTCCTGAGGTTTTAATTTTCTTCCAACTTTTTTCTGTGTGTTATCATTGGCATGCTAGATTTGCTATCTTACTCGTGATTAATGCCTTTTGGAAAATGTGTTTTAGTCTAAGAAATCTGTTTCTTGCTTTATTAAATCATTTGAACATAAGTTTGAATAAGAAGTTAATAATCTTAAAAGAGTTATGGAAATTTTAATGGCTGTTTGTACAGAGGTGGCTTACTATCATTGTTAATTCATTTCTTTACTTAGATTCTCTGTCTAATAAATGTTAGTCACAATGGCATAAATGAATCAGAACTGATGGAACTCTACCCTGAGCTTTCCTGGGCTGTCTTGACCTCTCTAATTCACAGTTTACACAAAATGAGCTTATTGACTTACGGTTGTGGCTTGCTCAAGTTTCAACATCTACAGGTAAATGTTATTTTAATAAGGTTTTTTACTTACAAATGTCAACATACCATGCTCTGTTAAGTGTTTCAATTATAAGACATGGTTGAATTCTGAAATTTGGCATTATAAAATTTTTTGCAATGATTTTAGGTTAAATGTAAAATTTGACTAGTATTATTCTTATAATGTACCTTTATGAAGTGACTGTTATAGTAGTCCCCTCCTATCTGCAAGAGACACCTTCCAAGACCCCAGTGAATGCCTGAAACCAGGATAGTACCAAACCCTGAATATACTATGTTTTTCTCTTTACGTGCTTACCCATGATAAAGTTTAATTTATAATTTAGGGATAGTAAACAATAACAATAAAACAGTAACAAAAAAAAAGAACAACTGTAACAGTATACTGTACTAAAAGTTATCTGAATGTGGTCTCAAAATATCTTACTGTATTGCATTCATCTTTCTTGTGATGATATAATACAATAAAATGCCAACCTGACAAGATGAAGTGAGGGGAATGATGTAGGCAACTGTGACCTACGTCACCTAGGCTACTATTGGCCTTCTGACTGTAATATCAGAAGAAGGATCATCTGCTTTTAAACCCCCAGGTTCCTGAGACTGCAGAAAGTGAAACTGGGGATAAAGAGAGACTATAGTACTTTAAAAGGTAGTTTCCTTCTGAAAGAGAAAAAAAATTTTTTTTCAATTTTATGTATGTTTGATTGTTGGTATTATGTCTTAAGAGCTTTGACTCAGTAAGTCAGTATGCCTCAGTTCACAATCCAGCTCTTCACAGCTAACAGCTATGTAACCTTGGGTAAATTCTTTAAGCCTTGGCAGATTTTTCCAGCTTACTACTGAGGTTGTGAAGAGAATCAGTTGAGATGGTCCTCCATCCTAGTGAGGTCTTAGGCATGATATCTAGTACATAGTAGCAAATGTTTAGGACACATTGACTGGTACAGTTCTTAGCCACCTGCAATGCAGTGGTTGACTTATGTGTATACAAATGCAATGAAGTCTTTCCTGTGAGTATGCTGCATTATAAATGTTTATAATCTCACAGGCTTATCTTTTATTATTATATATTGCTTAAATATATTCTCTTCAGTGCTTTTTCTTTTTTTTTTAATTTTTAATTTTTTATTTATTTATGATAGTCACACAGAGAGAGAGAGAGAGAGGCAGAGACACAGGCAGAGGGAGAAGCAGGCTCCATGCACCGGGAGCCCGATGCGGGATTCGATCCCAGGTCTCCAGGATCGCGCCCTGGGCCAAAGGCAGGCGCCAAACCGCTGTGCCACCCAGGGATCCCTCTTCAGTGCTTTTTCATCCACATTTCTGATATTTTTACTGTAGTAACTAAATATTTGAGTTAAATTTGTGTTTTAAGTGCTTCCAGGAGATTTTTATTCTCTATCAGTTTATCAAATAAACATATCCTGAATTTTAAAATACTCTTATTCCATCTCTATTATGCAACTATAAAATGGAAATAATTATAAATTTATGTTTATAAATTAATTGTTAGATATACAATGACTTACAAAAAATAGACTATAATATTTTATCTTTTTCTTCCCAGGCTTGGGAAACAGTGAGACTAGAATATATGGAAGGTCCCACCATTATTTCTTCATGTAGGCAAAAGCTAATCAACTATTTTACCATGCAGCTGAGGTATTATAAATGTCCATATTGTTCTTCTACGACACATTTTACCTCTGGGTCTTTACTTCTCTTTCTTAGCTTATAACTTAATGTATAAAAATTTAATTATTATGAAAAAGATTAAATCATCTCACCTGTTAATGTCAAAAGAACAAAAGATTATTATGTAAGTAAGTCTTTTAATAGTATGCTAAAGATTTAAACTTACATGAAATCAGTGCAAGGTCATTTTATTATTTTTATTTTATTCCAGTTAAATGTTTTAAATATATGTGTATGTCTGTATATCCATGTGTGTATATTTGGATTGATTGGGTCTTTTTAAAAATAGTTTGATTTTAGGAAAATACCTTGAGAATTTGGTTAGTGTTCTTGATATCACTGTATTCATTTTCTTAGATTGATTGAGTTTCTGATTTTGACCTAATTTTCTCCGTATTAGATTATAATTAGAGTCAGGGATAGATGTCAAATACATTTTTCTCCCTTTAACATTTGTGTGAAGGCTTTTGAGGCAATCTCCTTGTTGGAAAAGTGTTACTGAGTATTGTCCCATTGTCCCTTCCCTTCTAACAGTCAGGACCCAGTGACCTGGAGGAGTGCAGATGAGCTCCCTTGGCTTTTTCAGCAGCAGGGAAGTAAACAGAAGCTGCATGATTGCCTTCTCAATCTCTTTGTGTCTCAAAACCTTTATAAAAGGTAAGAAACGTACTTTTAGAACACCTCCCCCCCCAAAAAAAAAACAGATTTAAACAGTTGTTTGGTATAACAAAGAAAAATGGCATTTTTAATGTAGTTTTTTCAGGTCTTAATTAGACCCGAAACCATAAAACCCTAGAAAACATAGCCAGTAAACTGCTTAACATCAGTCTTTGGTGATGATTTCTTAGATCTGACACAGAAAGCAAAGGCAACGAAAGCAAAGTAAACTGGTGGAACTATATCAAACTAAAAAAGCTTCTGCACAGCAAAGGAAATCATAAACAAAATGAAAAGGCAACCTACTGAATGAGAGAAAATAGTTGCAAATCATATGTCTGCAAAGGGGTTAACATCCAAAATATGTAAAGAACTCATAAACTCAATAAGAACAACAAGAGTCTGATTTTTTAAATGGGCAGAGGGGCACCTGGGGGGCTCAGTTGGCTAAGCATCTGCCTTTGGCTCAGGTCATGATCCCAGGGTCCCAAGATCGAGCCCCATGTAGAGCTCCTTGCTCAGCGGGGAGTCTGCTTCCCCCTCTTCCACTGCCTGCTGCTCCCCCTGCTTGTGCAGTCTCTGTTACATAAATAAATAAAATCTTTGAAAAAAAATAAATGAAAAATGGACAGAGGATCTAAATAGACATTCTTCCAAAAAAAATATACAGATGGCCAACAGATCCATTTAAGGATGCTCAACATCACTAGTCACCAGGGAAATACAAAATAAAAGTAAAATGAGATATCACTATACACCTGTTAGAACAACTATCATCAAGAAAATAAGAGATAATAAATGCTGGCAAGGATGTAGAGAAAAGGGAACCCTTGTGCATTGTTGATGAGACCATAATTTTATGCAGCTACTATGGAAAACAATATGAGGTTCTTTAAAAAATTAAAAATAGAATTGCAGTATGACCCAGCAATTCACTTCTGGGTGTTTATCTGAAGAAAACAAATAAAATTGGGATGCCTGGGTGGCTCAGCAGTTAAGCGTCTGCCTTCAGCTCAGGTTGTGATCCCAGGGACCCCAGATCGAGTCCTGCATTGGGCTCCCTGCGTGGGGCCTTCTTCTCCCTCTGCCTATGTCTCTGCATCTCTCTCTGTATCTCTCATGAATAAATACATTTTTTAAAAAATAATAATAATTTGAAAAGATATATGCACCCCCATGTTCATTGTAGTGTTCTTTACAATAGTCAATATGTGGAAACAACCTAGGTGTCCATCGATAGATAAATGGATACAGAAGATGTATGTATATATGTGCACATTACATACACACAATGGAATACTGTTCAGCCATAAAAAATGAAATCTTGCCATTTGCAATACCATGGATGGTCCTTTAGGGCATTATGCTAAGTGAAATAAGTAAGAGAAAGACCAATATAGCATGATCTCACTTATATCTGGAATCTAAAAAAAAAAAAAAAAAAAAAAATGAGATCCCAGGATGGCTCAGTGGTTTAGCGCCTGCCTTTGGCCCAGGGTGTGATCCTGGAGACCCAGGATCGAGTCCCACATGGGGCTTCCTGCACGGAGCCTGCTTCTCCCTATGCCTGTGTCTCTGCCTCTCTCTCTCTCTCTCTCTGTGTCTCTCATGAATAAATAAAATCTTAAAAAAAATATATATATATATATAAATAATAAAAAAACAAAAAACAAACATGCTCTTGATAGAAGAGATTGGTGATTGCCAGAGGGAGAGGGTAGGGAGTGGGCCAAATGGGTTAAAAGGAGTGGAAAGGTACAAACTTACAGTTATAAAATAACTCCTGGTGATATAGTGTGCAGCAGTATTATAGTTAATAATACTGTATTGCATATTTTAAAGCTGCTAAGAAAGTAGGTCTTAAAAGTCCTCATCACAAGAAAAAAATTTTGTAACCATATATAGGGACAGGTGTTAATTAGATTTATTGTGGTGATCATTTTGCAATTCAGTAGTTCCCCCTTTCCATGGCAGATACATTCCAAGACCTTCGGTGGACGCCTGACCCTAGAGATCCTACCAAGCCCTATATATGTTTTTTTTTTTCCTGTGCAGACATTCCTATGATAAGGTTTTAATTTAGGAATTAGGCATAGTAAGACATTAACAGCAATAACTAACAATAAAATCAAATAGTTATAACAACATACTATAATAAAAGTTATGTGAATGTGGTCTGTCTCTCAAAATATCTTACTGGACTAATTTAGACTTCTCGTGATGCTGTGAGATGAAAGAATGCCCCAGTGATGAGATGAAGTCAGGTGAATGGAGAAGGCATCGTGATAGAGCCTTAGGCTACTATTGACCTTCTGACCTTATGTCAGAGGAGGATCATCTCCTCCTGGACCATGGTTGATCACCACTAACTGAAACTGGGGATAAGACAGATTGCTGTGTATATAAATATCAAATCATGAGTAGTTCATCTGAAACTAATAAATGTTATATGTCAACTATATCTTACAAAATAAATAAATTACAGAAAAATACTATAATGCTGTAAAAAAATGAGATTTAGAGAGAAAGCAACTGGCAAAGAGGGATTTCTGAGTGGGCCCAGAAAGATGAAATTGGATTCAGCTGTAAAATTTAGGTAAGTGGAAAGAGGTAATATAAGGTCTCCCACTCACAATGTGATGTTTAGTAAGTCCATACTATGGGCTGAGCTGTGCATATTATATTAACCCAAAATAGTTATGGTATCCACAAGTGCTAGGGATAAAACAGGGCACGATTAAAAATAATAATAAAAAAACTATAAAAGTCTGAATCAGTAGTCCCTGAAATATAAAACTGGGAGAAATTTTAAGATAATTTGCAAATTGCCATGGGATCTTCTTTTTTCCAAGAGGTGAAGAAAAAAAGAATATTCTGAATAATCAGAACTGGAAAGATCTTGAGATAGCTTTCTATCTTAATCTTGCATTTCAGCAGCTTCAGATCAAAACCACCGAGGGAGGTGGCTCATGATGTCTGCCTGCCTCTCAGGGCCTTCAGGTATCTCAGTGTAGCCTTCAAACCAGATTCTGGGCTCTACACAAAATTTGATTGGTATTAAATTTAAAGAAAGGATTACCCTTTTCCATAAATGTATTGTTTGTCTCTTCTGGTTATGTTTGAATTTGCCAGTGGCCAAAACACCTTTTTACATTCAAACTTCTGACCTCTAAGCCTCATGGGGGTTTGGGTTGCTGTCTTATTTAGAAACGTAGACATTTCTCATAGCATAGCTACATAATTTGTTTCGCTCCTAAGTAAACTTTTCAGATTTCTTTGTTATACCTCATACATTATTTCTGATCTCCATCCCAACTTTTCATAGTTCCCTTGAAATCAGATATACTAAAAAAAAAAAAAAAAAAGAAATCAGATATACTCTTTTGTTTGCCAGCTCTCCCATCCTACTATTGTCATCTCCTCAGATGAATAAGCTTGCTTTTATATTTATTTTCTGACAGTTGCCTATGTTTCATTAATTTCTTCCATTCTCAAAAAAAATTTCTTCCATTCTAATTTCCATCATTTAAAATAATTATTTGAGTGAAGTCAGCCAGTTGACTGTGTATCATGAAATGTCTACAGAGGATTCTGGTAGATTCCCATTGGTGGATAATCATATGACATTAATGACAGCTGCCAACATTATGGAGTACTTGATCTGTGCCATCATCTGCTTACAGTAGCCTCTGAGACACCTAGGGTTGGTGACCCCCTTTCTGCAGATAAGGATGATGAGGTGTAAGAGGTCAGACCACCTGCTCACCATCACACAACTAAGAAGTGGTGGACTCAGATGGCAGAGTCTATCGTCAGTCTTACCTCTCTCTACACTGTAGTTGCCTACTAATAAAGTGTCAGTAGCCTGATAGGAATTCTGGCATTTTCACTCAATAGTGAGTTTTAAAGTTTATTTTTCATTAAATTACTGGTTTTTTGTTGAAACAGAGGACACTTTGCTGAGTTGCTGAGTTACTGGCAGTTTGTTGGCAAAGACAAAAGCGCAATGGCAGCAGAATACTTTGATTCATTGAAGCAATATGAGAAAAACTGTGAAGGCGAGGAGAATATGATTTGCTTGGCTGATCTTTATGAAACCCTGGGGCGATTTCTCAAGGATCTAGGCCTCCTCAGTCAGGTAACTTCAGCCAGGAATCAGAAGCAGTGTGGGTTTTTCTTGTTTGCTCTTCTTTCTTTTTTTTTTTTTTTTTTTTTTTTTGCTCTTCTTTCCATACTAGGAGGTAGGGCAGCTTTCATTTGCTGTGCTAATAAGATTGCAGATCTTACAGCATTTCACTGGCTTTAACTGCCCTTTAACTTTTTCCCCCCTAGGCTGTGGTGCCTTTGCAGAGGTCTCTAGAAATTCGAGAAACAGCTTTAGATCCAGATCACCCAAGAGTAGCTCAGTCCCTCCACCAACTAGCAAGTGTATACGTGCACTGGAAGAAGTTTGGCAATGCAGAACAGCTGTATAAACAGGCATTAGAAATCTCAGAAAATGCCTATGGTGCGGAACATCCACATATTGCTCGTGAACTTGAGGCACTTGCAACTTTGTACCAGAAACAAAATAAGTAAGACTTAGATCCATAATACTCTGGCTTAATGATGGGGAGTCATAAAGTTCTTAATGTACTTACGTGGTAAGCTTTTGTTTTGTGGCTGTGTACTTTTCTCATCCAATATTCTTTTGAATCTACCATGTTTGAATATTATTCTGAGTCTTGGGTGTTTGTGGAGTAAGCAGAAAATTAGAACTACAAGATCCATCCCTATTTGAAGGTGTGTGGAGGATAGAGAATGGACTTTGGAGTCATATAGTCGGGTTTGAATCTGGGCTCCTTCACCAACTAGCTTTGTAATGTTAAGTGTGTTACTAATACAGGGCAGCCAACCATTGCCCGCAGAAAAAATTTACTAATCCCTGGTGTAATAAAAAGTCTCATATCTATTAGACACACCCACTGATTGGCATCTTTTTCTCTATCAGAAACCATGTATCATAAATGATACATACTGGAATATTTTCTTTTTTTGGGGAATATTTTCTTTTAATTTCTAGAAGTATTATTTCACACAAACTATTTACATTTATATTTGACCAGAATTAGCACATACAGGAGAAGGTGGTAGAGCAAACTAAAATTTTAGATTTTCATTTAGTTAGGTCATCCTTTAGGATTCAAAGTGAGTTAAATCGGTTAAAAATCTGTCAAATGTCAGCTACTTGGAGGACTAGGTGCATTTTGTTAAATTTTGTTTTATGAAGGTTTTTGTTAAAGATTTTTAATTCCATGTGACTATCATTTTTAGAAATTATGCTATATTTAAGAGCCAAAAAAAGCTTTACACAAGGTAAGGAATGCTTTCATGTCACTGAAGTATGGTACTTTGGACATATGTTTCTTTTGTTTGACTTTATTTATTTGTTTTTTTAAGATACGAACAAGCTGAACATTTTAGGAAAAAATCCTTTAAAATTCGTCAGAAAGCTACAAGGAGAAAAGGCAACTCGGTAATGAGAGGTTTCTTTTGTGTTGTGTTTTGAACCAGAGGAAAAGAGCATCTCTGAATATCATAATATTGATGCATAATACTTCACATATTTAAGAACTTTACATAATAAAGTGATTTCTGTAAAAGTGCTAACATTTTCTTATATAAGACATGTTTAAGTATTAGTATTACTGAGAAGTACAACTTAGCAGACTTTTAAAAAGTGGAACTATTTATCATGGTTATTTAGCAGTATATACATATGTGAAAACATGTTGTACACTTTAAACTTATACAATGTTTTATGGCAATTATGTCTCAAACATGGGAAAATTTTTTTTTTACTTTTTTTAAAGTGGAACTGTAAAGTTTATTTGAAGGCTAGACTTTGGAAGATAGATTTAAAAGCTGCTTCAGTTTTTTAAAGGAAAAGCAAAAAAATTTAATGTTAGATTCGAATGTAGGGAAAGTCTAACCTTTGAGCGCACACAAAATTATTTTCATTTTCTAAGCTGCTGATAAAATCTATAGCTTTTTTAACTTCAACTGCTGTGTACATTTTAAAAATTAAATATATTTGACATATAACATTGTATAAATTTAAGGGGTATAACATGCTAATTTGATACATTCTATATTGTAATATGATTGCCATTGTAGTGATAGCACCTCTGTCATATCACATAATTATGTATTTTTTATAATGGGAATAATTAAGATCTAATCTCTTAGCAAGTTTGATGATTATAATACGGTGTTGTTATCTACATTCACTATACTGTGCAGTTGATCTCCAGGATTTGTCTACTACTTGCAAGCGCTAGGTGCATTCTAAGTACCTGATGTTTTTCTGTGTTTAGCAGTGGGATTGGCAAATATCAGCGGGTTAATTCTGTGTCCTGATCCTTTTGAAGGATTTGGGACTCAGTTCACTTTGCTAAAGTATCTCATCATCACTTTCAGAAAACAACTTTTAATGACTTTTAGAAGGTGACGCCATGTGGAAGTATGCGCATTTGCAATAACTATTGGATTAATTCAGTGTGATACTTAAAATATTTGTAATCTACTTTAAAGGGAACAAAAGGATAAAGGATTTCTTAGAACTCCAGTGTAGTTTCAGAATCAATGACTGCACTTACTAATTATTATAAATTTGTTTTTGCTTCAGTATGGATTTGCCCTTTTACGTAGACGAGCCCTGCAGTTGGAAGAGCTCACTTTAGGTAAAGACACGCCTGACAATGCTCGGACCCTCAATGAGCTGGGTGTTCTCTACTATCTTCAGAATAACCTAGAGTGAGTACCATGATGTGAATAATGAAAACAAGTCTGTTTTATCTCTTAGATGCAAAGCTGCTTTATGTTTCTATCAAGTCAAGCTAGAATAAATTGATAGAAACCATGCCAGATTTCGCATATGGTATGTTATGAATATAGCCATGCTTGACAAAGACCATGGCATTTTTTTTTACTGTTTCCCATCATGTTGTTTCTTTTATTAACTAAAAAGTTATTCTGTAGCATCCCTAGTATGTTTTATATGTCTATAAAAGTGTTTTGTGTAGATATTGTACATTAGACTTCACAGAAGAAACTTGATACCAAGGGAGAATAAAGAATAGAATGTAGATGGCTGCTAGTTTTGGTTTTCAGTTTATTTGGACTTAAAAGATTCAAAAAGACATTTATACTCTGAAGAAATGTTTGGGGCTTCTGTGGATTTCATAAAAATTAACAAATTTGATACTTTGGCTATCAGAAAAATGTAACACTTACTTAGCCAGCCTCAGAAAGGGTTCTTCAATTAAAAATTATATAGCACTAACTTCAAAGGGGAAATCAACGAATACCAAAATCTTTTGAACTAGGTCTAATAATAATAGTAAAAGTATCCGAAGTTTTTTGGAAAATATTTATGGGTTTGTCTTTTAGGAAAAGTCAAGTGAAGAACTGAGGCAATCATCCAGATAATTTAGGCCCTCACACTATCAGGAAAGCATTTTTAATTTTTGGAAAAGGGCAGGAAGGGATAAAGGGTAGGAAAGAGGAAGAGAGAGGATTTTGAGGTGAATCCTTGATATTACCTATCTTGGATTTAAAAATAAAAATACTTAAGTTCTCCCCCTAACTAGCGCTAACAATTCTTCTAGAGGATCAATTATTTAAGCCATTTTGGGGTTTTGTTCATAGAACAGCTGACCAGTTTCTGAAGCGGTCCTTAGAAATGAGAGAGCGAGTTCTAGGACCAGATCACCCCGACTGTGCCCAGTCTTTAAATAATCTGGCAGCTCTATGCAATGAGAAGAAACAGTACGATAAAGCAGAAGAACTCTATGAAAGAGCTTTAGACATCCGGAGACGAGCATTAGCTCCTGATCATCCTTCTTTGGCCTATACAGTGAAACATCTTGCAATCTTATATAAGAAAATGGTAAGTAATCTGTGGCATGATTACATGTGTTTCATAATATACCAATTAAGTCATAATTACTGTCAGCAAAATAATTTGTCTTCTGATGGATAGATTATTATTTTCTATGAGCTTTTCAATCATAATGATTAATTTTTTTAACAAATAGCTGAATAGAACATTAAAAAACACTATACCAGAGTTACCTAAATTACAGTACTGGTTGGGTTTTGTTAAAATACATTCCAAAGACAAATGCATTCCTCAGCATTCTGATTGGAACTTTATATCAGAAGTTCTAAAATTCAGCCACTATTAAGTTTTCTGTGTTAAGCAGCCATAAACACAACAAATCACGTAGTTATCAGAGGTGAAGGAGGAATCTTTATAGGAGGTTAAAGGAGTATTTAAATTTCATGGCTTCTTTTCTTTGCTTACAATAAAATATAACTATTCTTTGCCATAAGGTTCTAGCCCGAGCAATGTTGGAATTGTTGTAGCTGTTCTAAAAAGAAAAAAAAAAAAAAGCCAGAGAAGTCTGATTTCATTTAGTATGGTTAGAGCTACGTAGACTTTTTTAGACTTCATAAGACCCTTGCTGGTCAACCTGGCCCTGAAACTGAAGTAAAAACAATGCATTGTTGCTATTTCTGCCCAACTTTCAAGTGAAAAAGAAATAGAGGGGTGCCTGGATGGCTCAGTTGGTTAAGCATCTGTCTTCAGCTCAGGTCATGACCCCAGGGTCCTGGGATGGAGCCCTCCATCGGACTCCTTGCTCAGTGGGGATCCTACTTCTCCCTCTCCCTCTGCCACTCACCATGCTAATAAATAAAACCTTTAAAAAAACAATTAGAGGGATTCCTGGGTGGCGCAGCGGTTTAGCGCCTGCCTTTGGCCCAGGGCGCGATCCTGGAGACCCAGGATCGAATCCCACGTCAGGCTCCCGGTGCATGGAGCCTGCTTCTCCCTCTGCCTATGTCTCTGCCTCTCTCTCTCTCTATCATAAATAAATTTAAAAAAATTTAAATAAAAAAATAAAAAAACAATTAGAAAAATCTCGAAGGGGGTTGGCGGGAAATGAAATTTTATTTTGATGCCATGTCTAAATTATATATAGTAGCAAACATTTTACTGGCATATTTTGACTTCCCTGGGAACTGAGTAATATTGGGACCTTTATAAAAGGGCTTTCTGAATTATCAAAATGTATTTATATTCAATGTAGCTTTACTAACATATTCTATTACATTTCAGTTATCTATAAGCTGAACCATTAAAGTGGGAGAAAATGTTTCTGAAATTCTTTTTCCTCAAAATGACTCATTAATAGAAATTCTATTTATGGAAGAAGCTCTGTGATCAGATAGTATTTATTATTTTAATATTTTTGTTAGATTTCACTGTTGTTTTTTAGGGGAAACTTGACAAAGCTGTACCTTTGTATGAGCTGGCAGTTGAAATTCGGCAGAAATCCTTTGGCCCAAAACACCCTAGTGTAGCTACTGCCCTGGTGAACTTAGCTGTTCTCTATTGCCAAATGGTAAGTTCCCACATATTAACTCTTTATTAAGAGTTTTAAGGTATGAAATATAAAAATGAAATAGATGTGGCATAGTAAAAATAATTAAAGAAAATTTAAGATTACTAATGCTTCCTTTAGTACTTGAGAAGTTATTGAGGTTACATTTGTAAGGCGATCCCTTCTTCTTAGTGTAAAACACCTACAGAACATTTATTTAGCTCATGGCATAAGCTTCATTTTTTAAATTCTGAAGACTGTATTTCTCTATGTCCAATACTGTCTATAAGCTGTGCCATTTGCTTGTGATAGGTGAAAAGTAGTGTTACACCCAGTGGGCAATAAAGAAACATGATTCTACTTACACGATCAGTGATCACCAAGCTAGGTCTAAAACTTAGGTTTCTTTCTGTTACATGCTTCTACTATTATGATTAGTAATAAACTTTTAATTTGTTTTATCTAAATCCTGTAGGAAGATATTAACATTATTAAAGGGGCATTCTTACTGGGACACCTGGGTGGCTCACTGTTGAGTGTCTGCCTTCAGCTCAGGTTGTGATCCCAGGGCTGGGAATCGAATCCCACATCGGGCTCCCAGTGAGGAGCCGGCTTCTCCCTCTGCCTGTCTTTCATGAATAAATAAAATCTCAAAAAAAATTAATGGGTTTACCCCAGTACATCAGCATAGTCAAAAATTTTAGATTTCAGCAACTCAGTGTATTCAAGTGAGCATTATTCTTTTTTTTAATAAGAAAAAACACATGGAAGCCTTGCCATTGTATGAAAGAGCATTAAAGATTTATGAAGACAGCCTGGGTCGGATGCATCCTCGAGTTGGAGAAACATTAAAAAATTTAGCAGTGCTTAGGTAAGAATTTTTTCAGTTTCCTAATAGCAGCCAAACTCCATTTTTGGAACAGCTTTAACTTATAAAACAACACACAATATTTAGTGCTGATTGTTTTTTCTTGAAGGAGGGGAAGGGATTATTTTGGGTTGATTTACTTCAAGATAACTGAAGTAGTATCCAGAAGTGAAATGAAGGTTGCATAATCTATTTTATAGAGGAATGGATCATGTGCTGTTTTTCACTACATTTGCAGCTAATTGGTAGTTAGATGGGCAATTTGCCATCCTCAAAACTAATTTACCATTAAGTCTATGTAGATTTTGGGGTGCTTAGGTGGCTCAGTTGGTTAAGCATCTGACTCTTGGTTTCAGCTCAGGTCATGATCTCAGGGTTGTGAGATTGAGCCCTGCATCAGCCTCCATGCTAGGCCTGGAGCCTGCTCAAAATTTTCTCTCTGCCCCTCCCCACTACCCTGTGTGCACACTCTCTCTTAGAGCAAAATCAATGTGCACCTTTTTTTTTTTTTCATCTAGGTTTGCGAATCTCAGGATGCAGAGACTTCCCTTAGCAATTTCACTGCACTGCACCCATTACAACATGGTCCTAATAGTGTCTATATGTAAGGCACTGAGATAAACCGTAGCAGTTCAGATAGAAAGAAGAGTTTGAATATTTTCTTTTACTGGTCTGAGTGAATGCACATACTAAAAATAGAAAGGGGAAAATGAGGAATTATTCACAACTTGTATCCTATAAAGTCATTTCAAGTTAAGAGAGTATATTATTTTAACAATTTTTTCTCTCAAAGCTATGAAGAAGGGGATTTTGAAAAAGCTGCTGAACTATACAAAAGGGCGATGGAAATAAAAGAAGCAGAAACCTCACTTTTGGGCGGAAAAGCTCCTTCCCGACACTCAAGTGGAGACACATTTAGCTTAAAAACAACCCATTCTCCTAATGTTTTCCTTCATCAAGGACAGAGGTAATAGCAATTACAATTCATTGCAAATGTACCTTAGGATAAAATAATTAGGAAACATATGGAACCTAAGAATGTAAAACATAAAAAGATGTTATTTTTGTGATTTAACTGATACTTGCATGAAAGTACATTGGACTACATTAAAGTTTGAGTCATGATTGTGTCAGTGTAGCTGCTTAAAAGAAATCAACTTTCAAAAAAAAAATCAACTTTCCTATTGTACGAGGTCCATGGATGTTGGACACATTAGAACCCTAAGATGACATGAAGAATGGATCATGAAAGTCTTTGTTCAACAAGAGCTAGCAGAGCTGCTAAGACAAGTTCAATTCCATAATTCTTTCATCTCTCAAGAGCTGTGTTGGCCTCAGCATTCCTGGTTATGCTTTTCAGCAGTAGCCTGGCCCAATTGTCTACCTCAAAAGTTTCAAGGAATAAAAGGATAATGTTTGTTTATGAAAGGTTTGAATTGTCTTCTGTAAAATGAATAATGGTTGTCTGTTACATTTTTTAAAATTCTAGCCTTTCCATGAGCAGACTAGGCTAAGCCCTCTGCTTTCTATGCTCTCTACATTGTTCTTTTATATGTACCTGCATGATCTGAAGTTATTAATGCAGTAATAAGTCAAGCTCTTAGCATTCTTTGACCTTCCCTAAGATAGGGACATGACAATCTCCTTTCTTAAATGGCCTAAACCTCTCTCTTCATTTATCTCAAACTAATGTCAATTTTATATTGAAAAGGAAATGTTTTACAGGTTTTATAAATGTTTTCATAGTTCAGTTTTGCACCATTTATATATTTATAATAAAATCGATTTTAATACTTGTAAGATTCCAACATTTTAATTATAAAGGTGAAAGATGTAATAACCATACTTCGTTTTAAACGTGCAATTTCAACATATTTTCCCCACTTCAGTTTATACAAGAGTTTGAACAGTACAAAAAATACTTGAATGTTATCAATACTGAGTGGTTTTCTCAAAAGTTTTGGTGACTTTATAGGGTTTTGTTTAATCTTCTGTAAGGCATGGCTACACACAGGGTGGTCCATGAACCAGGATCATCAGTACCACCTGGGAGCTTATGAAAAATTAAGACTCTAGATACTCTCCTCAGAACTATTGAATCAGAACCTGCAATTTGGCTAGATCTCCAGGTGATTCATACGCACCTAAGTCTGAGAAGCAATGGTCTGATTCTCAGGCACTATAATGGTGACTGAGAAGAAATTTGGTAGGAAATGAGCATCCCCCTTTTGAGAGAAGTTCAAAAGGAAATAAGATAAAATATGACCAAAGCACATCTTTGAGAGTTTGCCAGCTATAAAAGGCACAAAGTAAATTCACAAATTACCATACACTGATTTCAGATTTAAGCTACTAGAGTGTAAGATTTAATACATTATAAGTAGTATATTAAGTTTAATGCCTTTAAAAAACTGCTTTAGGAAGTAATCTAACATTCTAGGAGCCTGAAAAAAGGAAAAACCAGCAAAAGAATAATAGGCATTCTTTGTTCCTACAAATTTGGACTTGAAAAACATAAGTAGAAACATAGTAGTCAAAGTGATTTATGGCAGAAATTCATTAATTACAGTTGGGGGTTAATGACTGCATATATTTCACAAAGTTTAAGTTTAAATATACTTTTGAAAGCATATTTTGATCTTACTACTTATACCAACTCAAATGTTTTGATCTTTTTACTTATTGTACTACCAACTCAAATGTTTTCATGTAAAATGCCTACTTAAAAGATAAAAATAGCTAGAACAGACATCTTTTTGTATTTGAGGTTCTCAGATATATGTTCACATTGATACACACCTTTGCAATGAAAAAGGTAGCTTTCAGACTACTCAAATATATGTGAATTGGTGGGAACCAAAAAATGGTGGTTGTAGTTCATTTTCATTAATACTTTGCAAAAAGACAAATATGGGGGAAAATACAATGGAGGGTTAAAGTTTCCTTAATATTCTTAAATGGTCATTACCTTTTTGTGTTGATCAGCATGTTTATAGGTATTCAAGGAGTATTTTTATGAGAAAACCTAGAATACATATTTTTTACTACATAAAACATTTTAGTACATAAATTAACTTCCCATTAACAACAGGGAAGGGGTTAAAGCTAAACATGGTTTTACTATAATTTAGAGCTTTTGTGCTAAAGCAATTTGGGGAGTGTGTTTCCTTCTTTCACATTAGAAATAACAGTCTTTATAAATATGGTCAACCACTATGGGTTTATTTAGTAATGACTCAGTGATGATTAATTTCTTATAATCAGCTCCTGTAAGTTTTCATGGCATACAGACTTTCAAGAGAGCATTCCAGGTAGCAAAAGACACCTGTTACCAGATTTTTTTTGGGGGGGGTAAAATAATTCAACTATTTTTTAATGGAAGACGTTAGACAAATTAGGTAACTTAGATAAAAGAGTTGGTACAGTATAAGACACCAGCAATGTGCAATGCCATGTTAAGAACAAAGGCTATTATACTTTATCCAACTATACAATTTTTAAATTATAAGCAAAGCCAAGTCTGACTTTAGGCCCCGTATTGGGCTCCACACTGGAGTGGAGCTTTTATATAGCAAAGCCTTACCAAATCAATATACTAGAAGTTCCAAAGAAGTGGGGTTATTTTTAGACTACATTTCTTTTTTGAAATTCAAAACATTTCAGGTAACTAGAAAAATACTTTTACAGATGAATTCACTAATTTTTGTTTAATGGCAAATGACCTACCAAGGCAACATAAGTTTCAAAGCTACCATCCCCCTATTTTCCTGACCTTACTCCAAACAGAAGAATCACTATATGATTCTAGAATCTAAAAACAAATACATTGAGCATATTTGATATTTGAGACTTTCTGAAATCAGTTTTTAAAACTTTATTTTACAAGTGAAAATTGCATTCTTAAATTTCATAACATTTCTTCTGTAGAGATACAATTTACTCATTCATATCTTCAAAGCAAAAAAAAAAATCATCAATATAGAGGATCAGCATAGTAGTATCCTACTGATAAAGGTTACACATATGTATTCTTATTGGTCTCCAAACCATTGGGAATTTAAGGGTCTCTAAGCTTTCATTATTTGTATGCAATGTTAGAGAAAACCAGTTTATCAATTTGTAATTTAGTGGGTCATGATCAGGGTAAATTATACTATTCCAGTGAATAAATACATGTCCATCATTTCAGAGGTAACTTAGGTCCCTTTTATGCCAGTACAGGACAATTATCTAGTTATCCAGAAAATCAAATTTTATGAAGTATTCAGTAAGTAGCCCATATGATGGGCATAATCTAGAGGATCTTAGCCTAAATTTACTCCTTGATCCTCAGTAAAGTGCAGTGACTCCAGATGTATGTTCTACAGATGCAAGGATTTCTTTTCCTTGATCAGTGCAGAAATATAGTAATTTGTACTTCCTGAAAATACCTTTGTTTATCCATGAAGAAAGCTTACTTTTATTTGCCTTTGTCTGGTTTTGAATTCACAGGTGTACAGACTTTTCCAATGACTACATTTTAGCTTGTATTTCATCAGGTAACATTTGAAAGGATATTTTGTAGCTTAAATATTTTAAATTCACTGTTGGCCAAGTTAATAATAGTGGATAGTTTTCTTATAGAGAGGGATTCTAAATCAATGAGTAGATACCTGCTAGCTCTAATCAACAAGTTGTACCTCCTGTACTTTCCCTATATTTGAGAACTGCATACTACTGTATTACCCATGGCCTCAGGCAACAGACCACAAAGGATTACTAGAAGGAAAAGAAATATAGCATCATATTGGTCCTTTTCTTCCCACCCCTCCCAAAAGGTCAAAGCATTTCAGTGGCTAAGTTTTCAAGTTTTTTTTAACTGGAATGAAACAGGAGTTTTAGGAATTACTGATTGAGTTAAAAAGGCACAAATAACAGTAATTTCAAAAAGTGTTAACAATTCTGTGAAGATTATGTATCAATGTTGCCCTAAGCATTGTTGGGTTTTTTTTTTTTTTAAAGACTTTATTTATTCCTGAAAGACAGACAGAGAGAGAGAGAGGCAGAGACGCAGGCAGAGGGAGAAGCAGGCTCCACGCAGGGAGCCCGATGTAGGACTCGATCCCAGGACTCCAGGATCACGCCCTGGGCCGAAGGCAACACTAAACCACTGAGCCACCCGGGCTGCCCGCGTTGTTGGTTTTTTAAAAAAAATTTTTCTTTTCTTTTCTTTTTTTTTTTATTGCAAGAGAGTAGGCTTAAACTCAGGAAATAATAGGTCAGTCCATTATCTACATATTCTTCATTTTGGCCATAAGGTCTTCCAAGCTTTCACCAGAATCTTCCACAGTTACCTCAGCTACAGAATCTTCTTGCTATCAACAAATAAGGGAAAAAACATTGTGAAAAATAACCATATAAGATTTACAATGCTTAGGAATACAAAATCACTAAGTTGTAACCATGATCTCTATTGCAGAGAGACCTATTGAAATGGTATTATGGCTAAAATGTCAATATACAAAAATGTTACCTTCATTAATCAAAACCTACTTTATCCATTAATGAGTCAAGAACACTGTTTTAGGTCTGTGTTTCAAACTGTTTAAAAGGCATTGTGCCTATTTCCACATTAACACTAAATACCTCTCTTTCACATCTAAACGCCTATAGTGTAAAAAACAGGAAATACTGCATTGGCATTATAAAATAGGAAAAAGATGAGAGAAGATAAGCAGACATTTTCTCTTATATGACATTTACTTATGGTAAATCAGATTTTGGGTGTACCTTTTTGGGAATTGTATATGCCACTGTAATTCCTTCAGGTAAGTCAGGAACTGGACCTGAAGAATTTTTCAGTTCCTCTTCTGAAACCTCAGATACCAACTCAATACCTAGAAAATTAAATTTTATAATAGTTTTCAAGGAACTTAATAAGCAATAATTACTCAAAATCTGTATAACTTAATTCTATTTCCTCCCATAAGACATTTGATGATGCCATTTCAGTTTATGAAAGAATTCCTACCCCACTCATTGTCTTCATGTATTATCTCTTCCTCTTCTTGAATAGCCTCCTGTTTGGGCAATGCTGCTACCTTTTTCTGTAGAAATCAAACAGTATCAATTTGTTCTTACTCATTCTCAGGCATCTAAAGCATTGAGCAAGAATTCAGACAGGCTTTTTATTTTACTAAAAGCAAGAAAGACTTCAACAGATTTTTTTCACTTTTGGAGCATGGTGAATTTTTTGCTGACATTTCCACCTTAGGGATACAAATCAAGAAAACTTTCAAAACCCAGGAATCCATCTATCTTGTATTCCAAATCTAAAAAACTGTTTTAAATTATTGTCCGAATAATATGACCTCTCACACATTGTGATGGATTGGTGTATACCTTGTATTCTTCTTGGTGCTTCCTGCAATTTCGGTCATCGCACTGAGGATTTGGCTTCATGGACATAGTAGGGAAAAAATCTTGCATTGCATTATATCCAAGGTAAAAACTAACAGTACCAAAATTTAACAGAAACCTAGAAAAACAAATCAAAGTACACTTAAAGAATTAAATCATAAAAGTATTAGAATTGAATTTTCTTAAAAAATGGTTTTGAAGTATATAATGATCTTTGTAACAAAATAGTACTTTAAGATGTCAGATTAAAATATGAAGAATCCCTGAGATATGGTATTAAATCTAACTACTGTTTAGAAGTTTTTATACACAACTTACTATAAAGTTTACAATCTTAAATGTACAGTTCAATGAAATTTTCCAAAGTCTTCACCCATGTAATCACGACCAGATCAAAATACAGAACGTGTCGGGTATGCCACAAAGCTCCCCTGTGCTCCCTGCCAGTCAAATCTGATTTTAGAAGATTATATGGAGAGGAAAAATCCCATATAAAATATAAACAAAAGGAAAAATATTTGCAACAAATGTTAATATACAAGACAAACTGACCAAATGAAAAGCAGACAATTCACAGAAAAATGTAAGTGCTCACCTCTTTCCATAAACTGGAAATTAAAATGAGATACCCATTTTTCACCCATTAAATTAAGAGATTAAAAAGTCTGATGATACCCAATGTTATCAACTGGTGTGGCTGAACGAGGTACTCCTACATTGTGACAAAAATGTATAATACTTTTGAAGGAGAAATTTAATACTCTCAAAATAAATATTGCATAAACTCAAATTCCACTTCTAAAAGTTTGTATCTAGAAAAATCTATACAAAAAATATATGCAATATATTTGCAGCATTGTTAATAAAGTAAAATAAAAAAATCTAATTAGCTTTAATGTTCATCGATAGGGGCTTGGCTAACTATTATACATCCTGAAGAGAATAGTGTATAACCGTCATTTTTCCCCACCTTTTCTGTAGCATACTATAAAAGGTTTTTAGATAGGGCCTACTGAATTTTGTGTAGTTTGTAAAGTGAAGTTGTCTTATATGAAATAGCCCTAGACAGTTGCCTTGAGAGTTCTCATACAGGCTTTTCACAATTTTTTTGCTGGTAGCTGACACTTCTGGTATTAGGGTGCTTCTGTATATCATGCTGCAATTTGTTCTTATTATATTGGACGGTTAACAAACATAAAGCTTACTAAAGTTGTAAAGTGAGAGAAAAAAATGGCCTAATGTAGAAAAAAAAAAAAAAACCTTAAAAAGGTTCGGCTTTTAATAAAATGTGAGTTGGTTCAAAAATTCTTTGACGTTAATTTTAGCTGCAAAGAAATCTTTGCCCTTCTTTTTTGCTGTAGTTTAGATGATGTGGTTGCTGGATATCTGTTTTGGGATAGCAGAGATATTATCCTCATTAATGTATAATCACATTGGTATTATTTTTAGTAAGAATTAAAGAAGTATGTTTATGCCCTTTGGTCAAAACTGCAGAGATTTAAGTCATTTGGTCACTACTTCATAAATACACTAGTACCACTGTACCATTTAACAAGAGCTATTCTAAATGCAGAGTAACATATGTGTATTAATATGTTTAAATTAGATATACTAAGGTATGTATGTCAATTAAAAGTACATTATATTATACATATATAAAATGTATGTATATTTAAAACTAGATTTTAGAAAACTACTTAAATAGTAATTCCAATATTTGAGATGCTTTATGAAATATATTTCTATCAAAAACAATCAAGACTATTCAGAAAAATTAGCCCTCACTCACTTTAACACATTTTGAACTAAGATCCCAGCAACCACTCCCATTGTGGTAGGAAGACTGGCTGCACAAACACCTTCTCGTTTCAGAGTCTTTTCATCAATATTTGCAGCAACTACAAGTGGTGGAGCACACTACGTGAAAAAGAATAAAAGAAAATATATTTCAAAACAAAAGGAAAAAGTGTAACATAGTATTCTATCACATTCAAAGTTTGTTTTTTCTCTGAATACATTTTCAACATCCCTAGGAACTCTAGTACTTAACAGTGGGGGGAAAAAAAGCCAAAATAAATCATGCATACCGCAAAACAAGCAGATTCTCCAGGAATTATGAGCTGTATATGCCCTGACACAGCATTTTCACTGACCCCAGACTCCATCCACGTTTGCCCAAGTTCATTACAAGCCTTAGTAGAAATAGGTGAAAACATAACATCAAAAGAAGTAATTTACCATAAGTTCTTTTCTTGAAAAATTGGGGTTTAACTAAATGGATTACCAAGATGTTTTTAAATTTTTCAAGAGAAAGTTATAATAGTGGAATTCCTTGGCAAATGCCACTCTCTAAAAAGTAAAGTGACGGCATTTAAGTAAGCAGTCAATAAATACCTAATTAAATTGAACCATTAGGTTTATAGGATATATTAAAGTAAAAATTCATTTTTCTAAAACAATTTCAGCAATTAACTGCAAAATCTCTTTTGAAAAGTTGAAAACACAGTAATTCAAAAGAATTTTATTTCTGAGAAACTAGGTTTGTAGGCAATTTATATTTATACCTAAAGTAATGAAAGTCAAAACCAATGCTGACAAAGAATAAGACATCTTAAGATAGTCCTTTATCTTAAATACTGTACTTCAGAAGTATCTACTATGTTATAATTTCCTGTATTGGAGGAAATAGGATACTAAAAACATAAGCCACATCAGTAAGGCTAGACAAATCCCACAGCCATTAGAATCTCAAAGGCAGGCTAAGAGATCATTAAAAATTAACAGAACACATCATATAAGGGTTTAAATGCAGAACTATACAAGAAAATAGATGAATCCATGACTGTTAACATCTTAGACAATAGGAATACTTACTGTATTTATTGTCATCCGAGCTTCAAAATTGTCCACGCAGCTAAGAACTAGGTCAACAGGTTTTCCTTCTTCTAATCCACCATTACTAGGTAAAGCAAATAAATTTTTGGGGGGGCGGGGGTAGATCAGGACACAAAATACCCTCTAATTAGACTGCATTTGTTCAGGTACACATTTATTCTTTCAGCAAATGAGTACAATCATGACATGGTATTTAATATTAAAGATCTAGTAAAGAGTATTAAGTAATATAACATGAATGATACTACAGTTCTATTCCTGGAAGGCACAAAAATTACCATTTCCCTATCAGCTTCCAGACTTTTATTCATGTTTCACTCTACACGTAATAAAAATTGAATACAATTCAGTATCTCAGTGTTGTTATAGCATTCTGCAGGAAATTACTTTCACATAGAAATATAATCTAGAACACAGAACTTAAAATTGAGGATCCCTTTTTAATCATAACAAGTTTTTTGTTTTTTTATTGTTGTTACTATTGTGTTTTTGGACAATACTTAATTTTTTACTGGGCTCCTAATACATAAAGACCGCACAGAAAACTATTTTAAAAACAAATATATATTGAATGTACGAACTCATTGAGTTAAATAAACATCAAGAGATTTTCTATTACTTGTTTAAGCTAGACACTGTACAAAATATTCATAAATAAAATTTACCTTATTCTATCCATGAAATGTTGAAAGTTTTCGACTGTGGTTATATTGTAGTTGTGTACTTCAAAAAGAACATCAGGATTAATGTTCCTGAGAGGAAAAAAGGGAATGATTATTAAACTACTGGTAGGAATGCTAAATGAAAGCAGGAAAAAGAACTGAAAAAGATCATTTAAGAGGTTAGAAAAATGGAATTCAAACTATTCAAAGAAAATCTAAAGTCCTCTTCTACTTATTTTGCCCCACTTCAAGGACTACAACATTCACTACATTTTGACTGCATATTACAGAACTGTTCCCACCATGTATGTGCTTAGAATTAAGCTCTTATCACCTCTGTTCAGTTACCACGGAGCCTGACAAAAAGAGCTTCCCTATTCCTTATTTAATTCAGTGCAAGCATGTTTGGGGCCACAAAGAAACTTATTAAAGGTTGGCAAGGTAGGCCACTAGCGTCAAATCTATTTTTATAAAGTCTGCAAGCTATGAATGGTTTTTCCTTAGAATAATGTTTCGTAATAGGCTAAAATTACATGGAATTTAAACTTCAGAGTCCATAAGCAAAGTTTTATTAGGAGCAGCCATGCTCACTCATTTTTCTATTGCCTACAGCAGCTATTGCACTACAACTACATAGCTAGACAGTTTCAGAGTTGGCCCTCAAGCCTTAAATATTTACTACCTCGCCCTATACAGAAAAAGTTTGCCAATCCAGTTCCAAGAGGTAAGACAATTTGTATAGTAAAACCTGCATTTTATAGAGAAAAGTTTGTGCATTAACTTAAATAAAAATACACGAAGATTTCACTATAGTCTTTAATTGCTAATTCCCTTTACCTCAAAGTATATTCTGCTGCTTGAACTTTACTTAATCCTGCTTGATGAGGTTGGAAGAAAAGTCTATTCATATTGGCCAGTTCCACCTTGTCATAGTCAAAGAGTAGCAACTAAAATGAAAACAGTGGTATTTTGATGAAAAACATACCGAAATATAAGCTAAAAATAACAAAGAATCAATTAGTGAACTTTACATTTAACGGGTTTAATAGTTTGATAGTAATATTAGCTAGCTCTAAAAATATTAATTCATTTAATGCTCATATAGGTATAAATGAGACAACTATGACACATGCCCCAAAGCCACTCAGCTAATACATATGAAAATGAGGTTCAAATTCAGGCATTCTCAACCCAGCATCTGCACCCAAACCCTAATACTTACGGCCTCTCTAAAGGATTCACTGAAAAACTGTTTATTCCATTTCATTCCAATTGTTTACTGAAGACCAAGAACACATTAGAGAAGTGAAATTTTAAGATAAAAACAGGGCACCTGGGTAGCTCAGTTAAGCATCTGCCTTCGGCTCAGCTCATGATCCCGGTGGAGTTCCATGTCTGGCTCCCTACTCAGCAAGGAATCTGTTTCTCCCTCTGCCCCTTCCCTGCCCATGCACACTCACTCTCTCTCAAAAAATAAGATTAATAAATAAATAAGATAAAAACAAATGCCATAACTTAAAACCATAGTATAACATGACTCCCTCTGTGACTAGGACACCATTTTTAACCCACGCCTAAAATATCATCCCAAACAGAATTACTACCCAGTAAGTTAATTGTTGTTTCCTTCCATATATTTAGACATGACAGCATTTCTCACACTCACACATACACCTTTTTAAAGATTCCATTTTTTATCAGTAAGAACAGGTTGCACCCAAGTATTTCCAAGGTCCCTTCCTTCACCTAAAATTCTGTGACTAACACAATTCTCAGCATCCTAAGTTTAACAATAAAAACAAAAGTATGGGAAAATGCCAGGGTAAAGTGAGCACAGAAGCAAAGGTTACAGCAGTGGTTGAGGGGGCTGTGGCTTATGGTGCATCATCTTGTACACACCTAAAATTTAAAAAAAAAAAAGGGGGGGGTGGCATGGGGGGAATCTTAATAACAAAATTAACCCAACCTACAGAACAACCCCTGGGTAACTCTTAATATCTTGCTAGAAAAAATGCATCACCTCTGTCTGCCCTCTACAATTTTCTGACTCGACTTAAAAGTCTCCAAGATACAGTTTATTTCAGCTCATTAGACATTACTTATTAAGTCAGGCCAAGTATTAAATTTGAGTCATCAGCTTCATGGCTGGTTTATAAGTGACTTTTAAGTGACAGGAAATCACTTGAGTCATCAGCTTCATAGCTGGTTTATAAGTGACTTATAAGTGACAGGGTATCTCAAATTTGGGGAAAGGAAATATCAGTTGTAGCTCTGTCACAAATTAGCTCTGATCATGGATAAGTCACTCACTTTTTAGGCCTGTATCTTCCTCTGTAAAATAAAGGAGCTGATCTAGATCTTTAAGACCTCAAAGGGGTTAAAAGGTGGGCTTGAAGTCTCCCATCTTCCACTCCCTGTTTAAGCATTAACTCCTTGTTTATCTGTTTTATATATTGAAAAGAATTCTGAAACTTAACCTATGAGATCCTTAACTTAAAACTTGAATGCACATTGGAATCCCTTGGAGAGTTTTTTAAAAAAAATACTGATGTCTGGGTCCCATCCCCAGAGGCTGATTCTATTATAGATAGCAAAATTTTTTTGAACTTCCCAGGTGATTCTAATCATAGAAATATTTGATAACCATTGTTCTAGATCCTTGCTACTCAAAATGTGGTCTGGACTAGCAGTATCTGTATCACTGGAAGCTTATCAGAAATATAGGGGCTGGGCAGCCCTGGTGGCTAAGCAGTTTAGTGCCACCTTCAGCCCAGGGCCTGATCCTGGAGACCCGGGATTGAGTCCCACACCGGGCTCCCTGCATGAGGCCTACTTCTCCCTGAGCCTCTCTCTCATAAGTAAGTAAAATCTTTAAAAAAAAAAAAAAAAAAAAAAAGTAAAGAAATATAGAGGCCAACTTTTTTTTTTTTGGGGGGGGGGCTAACTTTAATATATATACAAATCATATGGAGATTTGTTAAAATACAGATCCTTAATTCAGCATGTCTGGGGTGGGGCTTGGGAGTATTTATTACTAACAAGCTCCCAGGTGATGCTGATGCTACTACTTAGGGCATCAGACTGAGTAGCAAGGATCCAGCAGTTCTCAAAAATCCCCTAGGGCAGCCCGATGGCCTAAGGGTTTGGTGCCGCCTTCAGCCCAGGGTATGATCCTGGAGACCCGGGATTGAGTCCCACATCGGGCTCCCTGCATGGAGCCTGCTTGTCCCTCTGCCTATGTCTCTGCCTCTCTCTCTCTGGGTCTCTCATGAATAAATAAAATCTTAAAAAAAAAAAAATCCCCCCAGAACATCAGAATCACCTGGGGATTTAATACAAATTCAAATTCTTAGGTGCACTAAAAACCTAAGGAATCAAACCCACTGGGGTAGGGTCTATGTTTTAAGAAGCCTATGAAATGATTCTGAAGCACATCAAACCTGAGACCCATAATCTCTATGATTTCTATTATCCTAGGTCAATCAGCTGTGATTCTTTGATCAACTATAACCAATCGCTGGCTGGCTTTCGTAAACTTCAAAGACTTTAAAAGGTTAATAAACACTTATAGAATTTTTGTGTTGCCTTTTCTATATTGATAAATGAATGCCAACTTTGAAATCATTTTCTTTTAAAAATTTGGGGCATGGGGATGCCTGGATGGCTGTCAGTTGAGTGTCCAACTCTTGATTTCAACTCAGGTCATGATCTCAGAGTCCTGAGATTGAGCCCCACAAACTGGCTCCTGTGCTCAGTGCAGAGTCTTTGTCCCTCTCTCCCTCCCCACGCTCACTCACACTCTCTCTCAAAAAGTATATTAAATCTTTAAAAAAAAGGGGGGGGGGCATGGGACAAGACCGACATATTAAAAAGCACTGATAAACTTTGTGGGAAAAATGCTTGTTTTGTCAAAATGCTAAAAAGGGGTAATCAATTGTGGAAAGCTTTGGTATTCAACCACTAAGAATCTAACATCATGGGCTTTACCTTTATAAATCTGAAACTAAATATACTGATTTCCAAGATAAGATTCTCTCTCCTTCCTACCCACAACCTAAATCGATTTTAGAAAAAAGTGAAAGAAAAAAAAAAAAAAGCCACATAGAAGTTAAAAGAAATCTAGAGCATTCTCCAGTTCAATTTTAAGAGTAAGAAAGGTATTTCCTAACTAGAAGTTTGTATCTCTTCTTCACCTATTTCACCCACTTCCCCTCTGGCAACCACCAGTTTCTTTTCTGTATTTAATAGTTTTTGTTTGTTCATTTTTGTTTTTTAGATTCCACATATAAGTGAAATCATATATTTGTCTTTCTCTTATTTCACTTAGCATAATATCCTCAGGACCATCCATGTTGTCATGAATGCCGAGATTTCATCCTTTTATAAGGCTGTTTGTATAATGGAATATTACTCACACACACCTATCTTCTTTATCCATTCATTTATCTATGGACACTTGGGTTGCTTCCATATCTTGGCTATTGTAAATAAATGCCGCAGTAAACACAGGAGTATATATAGCTTTTCAAATGGTTTTCCATTTCTTTGAGTAAAAATAAGTCATGAAAATGAAAAGTACAGCATAGAGAATATACTCAGTAATACTGTACTAAAGTTATATGGTGACAGGTGATGACTGTACTTATGAGCACTGAGTAATGTATAGAACTGTTGAATTACTCAATGTGTTGCAAATCCGAAACTAATACTGTAGGTCAACAAATTTTTAAAAATAAGTTAATAAAGGGCCACTATTCTTTGAAAAAAAAAAAAAGGTACATGCTTTCTAGTCCATCTTGTATAAAGCATGTTTAAAAAATATTTGTTAGGTGCCTGGGTTTCACACACTATCAATTTAACAGACTTCTCTCCTAAGTTTCTATATCTAAAACAGCCCAAATTGTAATATATCTTATTCCAAACAAAAAGTTATTGAACAAAATTGGGATATTCCTTGTTTTATCTGATTATCAGCTTCCATTTGGGTGGGGTTGTGTGTTAACTACTGTGGGTAGAAAGAACAATATGAATAAAGACAGCACAAATCAACAAACCATTAGTAACAAGAAAAATTCCTAATTTGTACCTGATTTACTCCAGAAGTGAGAAGTTTCCCTATGACAGGCAAAGAGAAATGTTTTTACCTTACCAATGCCACATCTTGTCAGCATTTCAGCAGTCACACTACCAACTCCACCAACACCTACTATTGCTACAGCAAAGGTTCGGATTTTCTGTGAAACGCAAAATTATAGATTTGTCGGTTAGCTTTTCATCAAAAATGTCATCAGAAATAATTTTCATTTACTGAAATTATCTTCAAAAACTTGGAAAGGTTTATCATACCTCATAGTCGCTTACGATTCCCATTCGTTTCAATGCCATTAGCCGGCTTAAAACAAAAAATGTTTTAAAGCTTACAATCTTTTAATTGTGATACAGGTAAACACATCATCACAGAAAAACACAAACTCAATCATTGCTAATGCTTTAGAAGAAATCTTTGCAGGGGTGCCTGGGTGGCTCAGTCAGTTAACATCTGCCTTCAGCTCAGGTCATGGTCCCAGGGCCTGGGATAGAGCCTCTACTCTGCTCCCTGCTCAAAGGGGAGCCTGCTTCTCCCTCTCCCCCTCTTGTTCCCCCTGCTTGTGCTCTCTGGTGTATGCTATCAGATAAATAAAATATTTAAAAGAAAAAAAAATCTTTCAGGGGCTTTTACCAGGTGAAATTAAATCACCTGGGCAGCTTTAAAAACACTATCCTTCCAGGTGTAGCCTGTGCAACAAGATTTGTTTTAAAAGCTCCTCAGATAGTCTAATGGACAACCAAGATTGAAACAACTGACTTAAACGTTAAGGGTCCAGATGAGATACGTTGAAGTGAAATTTCAACATTTTTCCATGCTTTCTTAGCGTATGTAAATATTTAATGTTTAACATCAGTTGTCTCTGCTCATAATGGACGATGTCTACTTTTAGTAAGTACCAACTGCATGCCAAAGACTGTTAAGTACTTTGTTATGTATTTAATATATATTTAAGCCTATACACATAAAATTCCCATTCACTTACACTTTATTATTATTTTTTTAGATTTTTATTTATTTATTCATGAGACACACAAAGAGGCAGAGACACAGGCAGAGGGAGAAGCAGGCTCCATGCAGGGAGCCCGACGTGGGACTCGATCCCAGGACCCCCGGGGATCACGACCAGAGCCTAAAGCAGATGCTCAACCGCTGAGCCACCCAGGTGCCCCTCACTTACACTTTAAAGAGTCAAATAGTTCTACCAAGCTTGCTAGGAAATTCTGCAGGCTTCTGGCCCCTTCCTCCCTTTAACCCTCCTTCCTAATTTCCAACTGTTACTAACACATCTCTAACTCGCTAACATTGTTACTTCTGGATTTTCAGTTTTAGGTATCACCTGAAGATTTCACTGGTACCATTGGTCCCTACTCTACACAAACATTTCCCACGGTGGCTGAGCTTCCAAGAGGTGGGATCTGATTCCAATCGGTCCGGCTCTGGTAATCCTTCCTCTTAACCGCCGCACCACATTCAACCAGCTGAAAGGACGGAGCGGACGAGGCTGGCGAAACCCAACAGCTTTCAAAGCTAAAGCTAATTAATCCTGGTCTCCCGCCACGTCCCCAGTTTTGCAATGCCGAGAAGCCTTTATGAAACTCGAAGCTCAGCGCTTGGTGGGCTTCACCCCTGATGTCATCTTCGGAGACTTATTACTATCGGTTTTGTGCAGAACGAGGGAGACTGCGGCAGAGGCATCAGGAACGGGACGCCCGATCCCCGGCAGGCCCGGGAGCAGCACCATATGGCTGATTCACTCGGGTTTGGTTTTGTGTATGTGTGTGCGCCTTTTCACCTCTCCGAAGACTCGGCCTGGCGCGTCAGGGCGCAGGACCCCAGCCCTAGAGGAGGGAGGTGGGAGGCCGCGGGAGCTGGGCCGGAAGGGGCGCCTCACTGCGGACCACTCGCACACCCTGACTGCACCGCCTCCGCCCCGCCCCGCCCCGCCCCGCCGGTCACCTGTAGGGGTTGGAGTCCACCACCTCCGAACTCATCTTCTCGATGCGGACCCGGCCGCCGCCTCCGTCGCCTCCCCCGCCTCCCCCCACGGCCCGCCGACTCCTCTCCTCAGCCAGGGCCCGCTCCAGCTCCTCCACCCGCTGCTGCAGCCGCTGCACGGGCTCGGCCATGGCTGGGACCCCGGCCGCCAGCGCCCCCAGCCGCCGCCGCCGCCGCCGCCCCACGCTGCTAGGCCTGCGGGCCCCGCGAGGGGAAGGGGAGGCAGCCGCCGCCGCTTTCCTAGCCCAGAGCCCTGCGGAAGTGCTCCCGGCGCCTCACACACGACACGTCTCCGCCGCTCCCGCGGGGTTCCCACGGTACCGCTTCCGGTACGCTGCAGTCATCGCTCCCCCTCAGGGGGGAAACACACCCCCCCACACACATACACACGCGCGCGCGCACACACAAAACCCGCCCCTCTTAGCTTCCTTCTTTGCCGGGTCCTAAGAGACCAGGCCGCGGCAGAGCTGTGGGTCATTATGTCCAAAGCCCGCGGCTGGCGATTTTGCCTTTCCAGCCCGGCGGCTAGGAGAAACACCAGGATCTTTTTATTCCTGGGTTCAGGGTCTCGACGGACCCTTTTCTGCACCGGACCCTGTAAGGTCTGAGGCTGCCGGTCGATTACATTTGGGGGTTGAAGAGCCCTTTTCGTTCCTAATCGCCCGTAGCGAGTAACAGAGCTTTGCCTTCTTGAAGGTTGCGGCCTCCGACCGTGAGACTGAAATAAGAGTCTTTGCGAACACGCGGAGGTCGTCGGGCTGATGGCGACTAGAACCTAACTGGCCGCACGCAGGCGCAGTGTGATTGGCTGGAGCAGAGCGGTGGCCGCCCCGACGCGTGCTGGCCTCGCCCCCTGGCTGTCGGGCCCGGCTCCCGGCCGCCGGAGCTCGGTGGTTTCTGCGTCTGCGCCGCCCGCAGCAGCAGCCGCAGCCATGGCGGGAGAGGCCTCCCCGGAGCCCGACACCGCCGAAGTGTTGCCGCAGCACAAGTTCGACAGCCGGGCCTTAGAGGCCTACCTAAACCATCACTTGCCCGGCTTTGGGGCCGAGCCCGAGGCCAAGCTGACCATTGCCCAGTACAGGTATCGACGCCGGCTTCTCCTCCAGCAGAAACAGATCTGTGCATTGTGCTTTTCTCTCTCTGGCCCTGGGGTGGAGTCGTCATTTCCCCCATCCCAGCTGCTTTTCCTGCAGTGACTCACTGTGCAGGTGGGGGCTGCCGTCCGCGGGGTCCCCTTGCGTTTCCTTCGGGGCATTTCCAATTCGAGGACTGTAACGGAAGCACCACAGCATTCACGATTCCAGCTCTGAGAAGGAATCTTTGTAAAAGGATGCAATTATATACCTGGAGGGCTCACTGAGACCGTTATGGTGGAAGCTCTGTGAAATATAAAGAGGTCTTGCAACTTTTTTTCTATAACCATTAGATCTTTTTTTTTTTTTTTTCTGAGAAGCAGATGTAATTCCGTTAAAATTGGCCATATTCTTGGAGATTGAGATAATGGCACCAGCTGGGGGAATGAATTCTAATCCTAGACCTTCTGTTTAGTAAATCACTCCTCCGCTTTGGGCTTTAGTTCTTTTGAAGTGATGGAATGAATGGAACTGGCTGGCGATCCTGAAAGTGCTATTCCCCACCATGAATCTGGCTCTGATCGGTTTTATAATAGAAAACAAATTTTTTGAAATTAAAAAAAAATAGTATTTTGGTAAACACACAAAGCTATAGAAACTATCTTAGCTTTCAGGAAATTCTGTCACTTAATGACTAGGAATTTAAACGTTACATAAACTCCTGAGAACCAGTTTCCTGATCTGTAATAAGTATCCGTTCCTTTTGATAATTAAGTGCTGTAATAATCGGTGAAATATTTTAAACTTTGTTTACAAGTTTCTAGGCTAGAAACCTAAACTGGTTTTAATTCTGTACTACAAGACTCTCTGACCCATCTCGATTACCCCTATTTTTATTTTCACACTAATCAATAGTCAAGGAACACAAATGCCAGAGGCCTGTAATACTGTCAGGATGTTTCTTTCTCCAGCTACATTCAGCTCTGTGAGTGCAGGCAAAGAGGTGGATTTAACCCAGGATAGGGGAAGCCAAGCAAATATCATGGAGAAAGGGCAAGTGTATTAAAGATGGACCCAAGGGACTGACCATATAATTGACCATCAAAATTAAGTGAGTTCAGAAAGGATGTGGTGGGGGAAGGGGAAGCTGAAGGACGGTAAACAGTAGTATGATCAATGGACCGTTGATCCCAGGATTGAAGGATCTTTGGAATGAACGTACCAGCGGGAGTGACTGGAAAGATAGATTATGGTCAGATAGAAATGCTTACCAAGGAGGATTATGCAGTGTGTGAGTTCTTAATGTGTAAGATGTGTCCCCTAGAGTGGGTAAAGTAGTATAAATGAAAATATCGCTGAAGTAGAAGAATTCAAGGAACTGACAGGCCTGAGTGTTAGAAATGAACATCTGAGTGAAGTTTGAAATCATGATAGGAGTAGTGTAAATAAAAGCAATAGTAAGTCAATAGGCAATGAGGAGTAGTGTAAATAAGAGCAATAGTGAGTCAATAGGCAATGAGGGAGAGTGATTGCAACAGAGTAGATTGCAGCAAGAAAGGGTGGAGTGTGTTAATCTCATAATATGAAATTCAAAACTGGGTGAAGTTTAGGCAGGAAGGAGGGCAACGAGTTTGCAAGTGGCAGTGAGTATCAGGAGAAACATAGACTCCGTCTCCAGGCCCACAAGATGATTGATGGAGAAAATCGACCACTTTAGAGGTCTACAAAGGAAACAAGGTCCTTGTGGAACATTCAGATTTTAGTGAAAGCAAGGACATGATAGGTCCATTCAGAGAAGAGAGTGAGGCTACCTGTGATTACGCTGAAAGACAATTCCAGGGGGTACAAAGGAAAGATAATCAGCTCTTTCTGCTAACGTTAAATTCTTCCTTTTTAGTAATCTGATTCTTCATCAGCCATTTGATGGTTCCACTGTACTTGCCAAGAATCTTCCGTTTGACTTCATCCTTGATTCTGCTTTGATGTGTCTCATCATCTGCGTGGCCTTACTGGTGAATACATAGCATCGGAGCATATTCTTAGGGGATCTTTTGCCCTTCTGCTTCTCATCTCCAGCTTTGTACTTTTAAGCCTCTTGGACCACATACTCAATGTTTTCCATGCTCAAACACCATGACATTGGCCTTTTAATCTTCTCTTTTCTTGATCTCTTATCTAGGGCAAATATATTTAAGATGCTGTTATCAATATCAAAAGTTACTTTAATTTGTACAAATTGAAGGGTGTAGGAGGCATATTTGTGAGTTCAAACTTGCCAAACTGGTTATTTTTAATCATTGCTCATTCAGTTTCACAGAGTAGATAGTGAAGGTCTAAGTCCACTTGGGAAGAACTGTGGTATTGCGTTTAGCCAGGATAGTCATGACTATGAAATCACCAGTGATTTCAATACCAAAGTAGTAGTTTCAGTATTACTAGGAAAAGGGATGATATCAAAGAGCAATGAATCCTGAGTATTTTCAGGTTTATCTCCAGATAAGGGACAAGATGACTGCCTACATAGCTGCAAACATAAGTAACACCCTTATCAGGATTGATGCTTTTTTCAAATTTCTTGCCTTTGGGGGGAAAAAAAAATCCTGTGGGAATTTCTAACTTTCTGAAGCTTGGAGATGCAGCTAAAACCACCCACTAGATGACCTCACAGGCCTGAGACTTCTCTAGCAAGAAGTGAAAGAAGGGTTAAAAAACCTTTTCTTCTCAATGGACAAGCTAAGTTAACTTTCTAGCTCTGTTACTCTGGTAACTTGGTAAAGGTGGTATGTCAGCTATGTGTCTAGGCAACATTACTTCTGGTAGAGTTAATATCTAATTGATAAACTGTATCTGAACTGGAAGGCCTGGAAATGAACTCTGAAGTTCAAAGTATCCCAAAGTGGGATACTTTGGGCTTCCCTGAGTGTAGCAAGTTCTTGCAACTGCTCATGTTCCTTGTTAGGCTGCTGGGAGCCATGTCCAGAGGATTGTTACTGGAGGAGGTAGCTCCTGTGGAACACGAGGCTTCTAGGCCAGGTTGGCACCCATCCTCACCTGTGTGGACTCATTTCTTAGAACCTGAGCCAACACCTAAGTGGTACAGGGGTACAGAGTCGATCCTAGCATACTGCATGGACTACTGAGATGCTTCTACTCTAGATGCTCATCTGATGCTGCCCTGCTGGAATACTGTATTTCTTGACTTCATATGCTTCCAAGTGAACCAATGCAGAGGGTAGCCTGTTAGGGTTTTGTGAGATTGATTGTCTAATCAAAGCCTTCTCCAGCCAAGTGAGTTTCCCTAACTACACACTTAAAATGCAAAGAATTCCATCTTTGTTAATTAAGGTTTGACAAATCAAAAGTGCTACCTCTTTGGTTATAGTTCACATTTCTTTCAGCACCAAATGTCTTGTCCAAGCCCTAAGCAATAGTTATGGCTCTTCGCTTATTGATGATTCTTACAGTATTGATATCATCAGTGGTTTCTAGACTATATGGTGTCCTGATGGTGTGAGTGCTTAAAGTTAGCCATTACTGTGTTCACCGTGTTGGTGATGATCTTCCCAAGGTAGACTTCTGCATTTTCGCAGGGTCTTTGTTAGAACTATGGTAGATATTTATACAGGGGAGAAGCTTTTAGTTTGGTGAGATTTTTTTTAAACAGAAATACATGTTTTTTAAATTTATTTTTCTTAATTTAAGAGACAGCATAAGCACAAGCAGGGGAGGCACAGGGAGAAGCAGGCTCCCCACTGAGTAGGGGGCCCAATGCGGGCCTCAATACTAGGACCCTGAGATCATGATCTGAGCCGAAAGCAGACATTTAACCAACTGAACCACTCAGACTCCCCTAAATTTATTTTTCTATTGAAGTATAGTGCCACTGGGATTGTTTTTGAGATAAAATTTATCATAAAATTTAAAATTTGAACTATTTTAAAGTGTACAGTTTGGTGAATTTTAGTATATTCACAATTTTGTGTCACCAATACTATTATCTAATTCCAGAACATTTCTATCACCCCCAAAAAACCCTCACCTCGCAATTCTCCCCTCCTCTCATCTCTTAGCAGCCACTAATCCACTTTCTGTTGCTATGGATTTACAGATTTTGAACATTTCATAGAAGTGGAATCATATGGAATATGTGCCTTTTGTGACTGGCTTTTTTCACTTAGCACCAGGTTTTCAAAGTCCATGTTGCAGCTCATATCAGGGATTGATTCTTTTCATTATTAAGTCCTCTTTTTCATACTGTTGGAGTCTTCAAAAGCTAGGTAATTCTAAGCTGCCCATATTGTAAATGAAGGTGTTAATTTAATGGTTTTGATATCTGGAGTGTATTTTTAGTTCATGTGAGAATTTCTGCTCACCCAGCAGGGAAATCCAGTGCCCTGGTATCTGAGTTACCTGGAGCCCTTCTGTACTTTCCTGGCCCAAGTATCTACCCTGGGACCTTGCTTACCACAGTTCCCATTGTGGAGAGCTGGGATACCCATCTTCTTGGGTACTAGCCTTGGTGAAGCATCTGGGGGTTATATCTCTAACAGTAGATGAGGGGACCCTAACCTAGCTATTAATTAACTCTTTAATTTTCTGACTAATATATACAGTCTCTCCTCCCAGCCTTTATTTATTTAGATCTAGGCATTGTTCTAGGGATACTTCTGATAAAACTCATGATTTGGGATGCCTGAGTGGCTCAGCGGTTGAGCGTCTGCCTTTTTGGCTCAGGTCGTAATCCTGGGACTCCGGGATTGAGTCGCACATCAGGTTTCCTGCATGAAGCCTGCTTCTCCCTCTGCCTATGTCTCTCTCTCTCTTTCATGAATAAATAAATAAAATCTTTTTAAAAAAATAAATAAAACTCATGATTTGCAGGGAGTGAGGTCTTCTACCTGTGTTATAGGTTCTCCACCTACCCCTGTTACCATCTGCTTTATGTCATCCAAAAACTAGTATTTTGAGCTGCTGGTAGCACCCCTCTTGGTTTTCTAGCAATGAAATAGGTTTGTTTTTATTTTGTGTTTCTTTTGACATTTTGGTAAGATTTGGGAAAGAAGAGAAATATCTTTGTAGTTGACCTTTCCTCTACTCTTACCTAGATCAGGACAGTCCAATCCAACCTTTTATCTCCAGAAAGGCTCTCAAGCCTATGTACTCAGAAAAAAACCACCTGGTTCACTACTTCCTAAAGCACATAAGGTATGGTATACAAATGCAATAATTCTTTGTTGACAAATACTTTTTATATGCAGAAAAATCATTTAAATTGGTTTTAAAAGTCCTCTCATTATTAAACAATAACACATTTTATTTCTTAGATAAAAATTTCACTTGAATTGTATCCCATTTTTAGAAAGGACTTGAGGTTGAAATCTGAGGCTGTCTTTAGGTCATTAATCTTGTGCAATACCCAGTCCTCTTATTGGTTTGATTCCTTCCTTACAATTGGCTAAAAATGCAATCCAGTGAATATTTTCAGTGCTGCTCATTTATAGATGTTTGTCTTTGGTTATATATTTTTTAATTATGTTTTTAAAATTATCTTACAGTAATATCTACTCACTGAAGGATCTTAATATATTTGCTCTGACAATCCATTGATCCTCTGCTAATAAAAAATACTTGAATAATCATTTTAAAGTATTCTCTGAACATTAGGCTTAGTGAGAATTAAAAAAGATTTGTTAAAAATTGAGTCTATTTTCAGGAAATAGCTATTATCTGTAGAATTTTAGAGAATAAAACAAGAGAAAACAAATCAAAGTCCTGGAAACTTTGAAAGCACTGCATATTTAGGATATTATCATAAACATGTTTAATAGGCGTTTCCCAGGCCAAGCTGACTGGGTTAGAGCCATTGAAGGATGGGCTTAAGATTACACTAATGGAAAAATGCAGACTCTGGCATTCTTGGTTCCATATCCAAGAAACTTGAGGATGCTAAAGATCAAAAGGTTGGGTAACTTCAAGTCTCAACATGGTAAGGCTAAAGAAGAATCCCCCCTGTGCCCAGCAGTTTATGCCCAATAAACGGCTCTCTTTCTCTCTCTTCCTGATAACATCTTATCAAAAGACTGAAAATAACAATGATCTCAGCCCAAGTATCTGGCTTAGTTGGTTTCAACTCCCTTCCTTGTTTCTAAGTCCACACTGGGGGGAAAAAAAAAAAAACCAGTGTTCTCACACTGCCGTCCACTTTATGACTCCCTGACCCATTTGTCCTTACCATCACCCACCTCACCCCCAGCACCAGGGGATTACGAACACTTCTTTCACAATCTTTGTTCCATTGACTTCTCTCACCTGGGTCCTGGTTATAGTCCTATCTCTTTCTTAGTTAATCCTTGTTAACTGCTGTTGTCCAAGAGAGCTGCATGGATTTCTCCTCCTTAGAAATGATCAGTCACTGTGGGCGCCTGGGTGGTGCACAGTTGGTTAAACATCACACTCTTGGTTTTGGCTTAAGCTGTGAGATCGAGCCTGGAGCTGAGTCCCACGTCGGGTTCTATGCTCTAAGCTCAGCGAGGAGTCTGCTTAAGAATCTGCCTCTCAAACAAACAAACAAATAAGAAGAATCTGCCTCTCCCCACCCCCATCTAAAATAAATCTTAAAAAAGAAGAAAATGATCAGTCACCACTGAGTCTGGGGCAGATGAGTTAGCATTATAGCTCTGCTATAAGCTGTGTCCTCAGGTCCTGAGTGATAGGCCCATGTATCTGCCCTGGTTGAGGAGGCCCTTTTATCTTATTTGGGTTCCTGCTTCAGTACTTGCTTGCATCTTATTGCCTCCATTCCCTGTGGTTATCTTGAGCTCCATGGTAGCCTTGAGTACCTAGAACGATTCCCCTACCCCTGCTTTAGAAATAAGTACCTCTTTTGATCTCCAGAAGGAGCTAATACTTTTTCCCTTGTACTAGCACTCTCTGTCCTCCCCCAGCACCCTATAGCTAACTGCTCAGAGCATTAGAATACAGACTTGCCTGAGCCCCCTTGGGAGTCATGAGAAAGAAAGAGTGAGCAAGCGTAAGCCAGTAAGCAAGCAGAGAACTGTTGAGAACAAAGATGTTTTTATGATAATCTGTGAAATATTGTTGTCAGGAACTGTTGCCTTCATAGTCACAGAGCCAATATTAAGCCCCATACATGTGCCTATCCCTTAGCCTAATTAAATGATCATGGTCTTTTTTTAGTGCTAGCCTACTTTATAACTGTAATAATTGCACTAAGACTACTTTTAAGGAAAATATTATCCTCTAGGTCATTTGTTGATACTGTTTCAAAATTGATTTCTAGCCTTTTTTTTTTTAAAAAAAAAAGATTTTATTTATTTATTTATGAGAGACAGAGAGAGAGAGAGAGGCAGAGACACAGGCAGAAGGAGAAGCAGGCTCCATGCAGAAGCCCAACATGGGACTCGATCCCGGGACTCCAGGATCACGCTCTGGGCCAAAGGCAGACACTAAGCTGCTGAGCCACCCAGGGATTCCCTGATTTCTAGCCTTAATCTAAGCTCACTATAGTTATTAAATGTCTGTGTTTCTGGGGTGCCTGGCTGGCTCTGTTGGCAGAGCACATAACTCTTCATGGGGTCATGAGTTTGAGCCATGTAGGATGTAGAGATTACTAAAAAATAATAATTAAAAAAAACTTTAAAGTTTCTGTTTCTGATTTTTAATAATTCATTGTCCTATTTAGATTGATAGAGAATTTAAAGTCCAGAAAGCTTTGTTCTCAGTTGGATTCCCCGTTCCCAAAACTTTATTGTACTGCAGTGATCCTTCTGTCATTGGAACAGAATTTTACATGATGGAACATGTGCAGGTAAATTCACAATCTTATTTTATTGTTACTTCTATTTTTAATTATGAATTTAGATGCTAATAAATTATAGCTTGTTAATTAACATTTTAGGTAATTAGTTTGTGTTGCAAGAGCTTAAACTTTTGTTTTAATAAGTACAGGGAATGTGAGAGAGGTGAAATAGATTAGGAACAAATTCAGTTGAGGGTGTTTAACTTATTATTAAATTTTCCTCTAGGTGGCAATAAAGAGCTATGTGTAATGGCAATAACCAAATGCTCCAGACGGAAGAGGGAAAACTACTTCCAAATCAGTCCATTAAGAACAGTAATTTCAAAGTGTTTAAAAAAATTTTTTTGCGAGTGTAACTTGAGAGTAGTTTTTTCCTTTAAGTTCAACCTGGAATGTCCTTTAGCATACATACTCTATTAAACATGTTTCCCAAATGAATGTTTTTCCAGCATATTCTACAAAGAATGGTTTTTGGTCGCAAACTGTTATCCTGATTTTTTTTTTCTTGTAGGCAAAGGGGATTATGGCACAGCAAATAATTTGTGTGAAAATATATATTTTTTTTGTTTTAAATTATTTGTTGTAATGTTTCCATAGGGTCGAATCTTTCGTGATTTCACAATTCCTGGTGTTAGCCCAGCAGAACGGTCAGCCATATATGTGGCCATGATAGAAACCTTGGCTCGGTTACATTCCTTGAATGTACAGTCATTGCAGCTGGAAGGATATGGTAGAGGTGCTGGCTACTGCAAAAGACAGGTAATACATCCACATAAAGAGCTCCTTTTCTCAAGTTCTTAGAAATAATTTACTTTATTAGTCAAAATAAAGACCTATTTTATGCTTTCTTGAAACTTGAACATAACTTTATTTTTTTTTTAAGATTTTTTTTTAAGTTTATTCATGAGAGGCACAGAGCAAGAGAGAGAGAGGCAGAGACACAGGCAGATGGAGAAGCAGGCTCCATGCAGGGAGCCTGACGTGGGACTCAATCCAGGGACTCCAGAATCATGCCCTGGGCAGAAGGCGGCCCTAAACCGCTTAGCCACCGGGGCTGCCCTGAACATAACTTTTAATATCAGCCTTATATTGGCTTGTTGTGCATGAAATAATTTTATATTTTTAGATCAGGTTTTTTCAGCCTAAGCTTCTGTAACTAACAAGATGTACATGAATGCAAATTTATTTTTTTTAATATTTCATTTATTTATTTGGCACAGAGAGAGAGCTAGGGAGAGCACAAACAAGGGGAGGCAGGAGGCAGAAGGAGATGGAGAGGGAGAAGCAGGCTCCTTGCTGAGCAGGGAGCCCAATACCGGATTCCATTCCAGGACTCTGGGATCATAACCAGGGCATCTGACCAAAGGCAGATGTTTAACTGACTGAGCCACCTAGGTGCCCCCATGAATCCAATTTAAAGCTTTTCAGCCTCTTCACTTAATTTATCAATATATTTTCTGTACAGTTTCCCCTTTTAAGTTAACATATCTCTTTAGCACAGCTGTGTGTTTAACACTTGCTGAGTACTATGTTAAATATCAAGAAAATAGAAATAAATTCTTCCCCTAAAGGAATTTATAGTCATTTTTTGAGAGACCTGTACGTGAAGCTCATTTACATGAAACTTGAAAATATAATAAAAGAGTATATAATTTAGTAGTAAATTGTTTGTTACTCATCAGGAGAGCTGTTCTATTCAGAGGATAGGTATCACTGTGCCTTTGCTCAGGTGGGGAAAGCTTTGTGGGAGAGATGTCTTGCGTTGTGTATTTATGAAAAGAGAAAATCTAGAGTGTTAGAGAAGACTAGGTGAACATTTCATACCAAAGGGACAGCTAGTCCCATGTATGGGACTATTTCCCTTTGTATGTGTGGGGGGACTGATGGAAGAGAGAAGGGAACTAAGATTTAGAGAGTACTCACTGTATGTCAGGTCCCATGGAAGGTGAATTGCTGACCTACTCTTTTTAAATCTTTGTAACAACCATTAAGACATAGGTCTTATTACCCCCATTTTATAGGTGAGGAATCAGACCAATGGGTATCAGATAACACATGAATAAGTGGCTTAGACATAATTTATACCCCGGTCCGTATGATTCCAAAGATGTAGGTCTTTACCCCCTAAATTGAACAGAGATACCGTGAGGAGTACAGAGAAAACTATAAGCTGACAAGTAATATGGTCTCAACTGATGAAGGACTGAGAATAGTTTGATTTGTTTGCATTTAATCCTAAGAAAAATAAAAAGTTCTTGCATTCCTTATACCTGATAATATATTTAGAAGATTCTGGGCGGGGGGCAGCCCTGGTGGTTCAGTGGTTTAGCGCCGCCTTCCGCCCAGGGCATGATCCTGGAGACCTGGGATCGAGTCCCACATTGGGCTCCCTGCATGGAGCCTGCTTCTCCCTCTGCCTGTTTCTGCCTCTCTTTCTCTGTGTCTCTCATAAATAAATAAATAAATAAATAAATAAATAAATAAATAAATAAATAAATAAAATCTTAAAAAAAAAGACTCTGTGGGTAATAGGAAAGGGTATTAAAATGAAAAATAAAAATCTAGTCCCCATATTTCCTTTTTCAGGGATTACTTGTTGCTTATGACCCTTCCAGAAATCTCAGAAGTCCCCTATGCCTATTTATTTGTGTATATATGTGTATATGTTTGCATACATTATTTTTTCTTCCACAAAACAGTTGCAGAATAAAGACTAGAACCCATATGTCTTGATTCCTATGCCAGTATTTTTTTTCCTGATAAAAATCTAGGTTAGTAAAATGGAACTAGATGGAAGAGATTTAAATGTTTTAGGCTTATGTGAATATTACTTTAGGCATTTGTCTTCAGCATTTAGGAATAAGACCAAATTTGATATAATCAAGTTTTGTTTTAGAATTGCTTGATCTACTTTCAGCTCTATAATTTTTCTTATTTGTATATCTTTAGGTATTAACCTGGACAGAGCAATATCAAGCTGCAGCTCATCAGGACATCCCTGCCATGAACCAGCTATCTGACTGGCTAATGAAAAACTTGCCAGATAATGACAATGAAGAAAATTTGGTTCATGGAGATTACAAACTAGATAACATTGTTTTCCACCCTACAGAGGTACTGTAAGCCATGTTTATAATAAACTAAGTAGGTCTTAGCACTTCTGATTTGGGACACAAGTACTAGGTAGATGTTCCCCTCAAGGCTCTGAAGGAGCCCAACCCAACCTCACTCTTCCCCTACCTTTTGGATTGTCTTCACCATTCAAAACTTTTAGGAATGAGTTCTGCAGATTTTCTTTCAAAGATAGCTGCCTACCTTTAAGGCCAAGTCTACCCTCAGGATACCTGATTTACTACTTAAACAGGATTTGGGAATTTACTTGCATGTCACTATTTTCTTCAGAGATGTTTTTTATCTACAAAAAATATTTAGCTTATCCATATTCTTGTTCTTTTGGTTCATTTTCACTTCCTTTTCTTATCCCATGAAGAATTTTTAATTTAAGTAATTATAAACTTAGGACAGAATTCCAAAAACCTTTTTTGAGGTTTTGAAAGAATTTTGTGAGATTAATGTGACCTTGCTCTGTGTAAATGTACACAGTATAATCTTTATTTATTAATTTTTTATAAGATTGTATTTATTCATGAGAGACACAGAGAGGCAGAAACAGAGGCAGGGGGAGAAGCAGGCTCCCCGCAGAGTGCCCAATGCAGGACTCGATCCCAGGACCCCAGGATCACGAACTGAGCCAAAGGCAGAAACTGAGCCACCCAAGCACTCCCACAGTATAATCTTTATGAAGGCTACAGAAAATTCAAAACTATAACTCTCCTCCATGAAGCATAGACAGTGAGGCCTAGGATTGGAAGAGTATGGTGGGAATGAGGAAACCACTTAGTTTTCCTCATTACCTGTATGCCATGGGACAAGACACTTGGCCATTAGTATTTTGACATTAATGTGAGAGGTTTATAGTTCCCTGAATAAAAGAGGTTTTTCTGAGTTCATTAATTTTCTCAGAATGCTAAGATGTTTTAGAGCAGGAAGAGCTGTTCTGAATTCATGTGCTAAGCTTCTAGGTTTCATGTTCTTTCCCTATAGGAAGAGGACAGGAGAAAAATAGCATTATAAATTACATTGCTGTCATAATTCAAAGTAGTATTATATGAAATCAGAGTTCAAATATAACATAAAATCAGGAGCACATTCACCAGCCAGACAGAAAACTTTTTATAGGAAAGTCAGTTTGGATAGTAAAGTTATGTGTATGTAATTATATATGTGTATGGGTAAACTTTTGTTAATGGCACTGATTAATTCTGAAATAACTTTGTTAAATATGGATTAGGAAGATTAAAAAATGCTAATAACCTGGAAAATTTTTAAAAGTTTATACCTTAAAACTTAGCAGGATCAGGCCTCTATTTGGTCTGTATCATTTGAGTCTTTAATATTTTAGGAGCCTATCTTTGAATAAGTCAGTCTTCTATGTGTTCTATGTACTTTCTTTTTTTTTAAGATTTTATTTATCCATAGAGAGGGAGAGACGCAGAGACACAGGCAGAGGGAGAAGCAGGCACCATGCAGTGAGCCGGACCTGGGACTCAATCCAGGGTCTCCAAGATCACGCCCTGGGCTGCAGGTGGCGCTAAGTGGCTGTGCCACCAGGGCTGCCCTCTTTTTTTTTTTTTTTTTTTTAAGATTTTATTTATTTATTCATGAAAGGCACAGATAGAAGCAGGGGCACAAGCAGAGGGAGAAGCAGGCTCCATGCAGAAACCCAATGCAGGACTCAGTCCCATATCGCAGAATCACGCCCTGAGCCAAAGGCAGATGCTCAACCACTGAGTCACCTGGTCATCCCTCTATGTACTTTTTTACTCAGTGCTTAAGCAAGGAAGGGAAAATTCAGGCCTAGATCTCTTGAATTTTGTGTCATCAACCAAGATGTTTACATTTAGGATTAGTTATAATATGTTGAAAGTAATGGCAAAACACTTAAGTACCATATTTTACTCCCTTTTCATTTTTAATCTCATATTAGAAAACCATTTCTTACAGGATTAAAGTTGTCAAACAGATGTCATCTTCCTTTAGATAAGCAGAATATTAAATAGTTGAAAAAGCCATTATTTTAAAAAAGAAACAACTGGTAGAGGCAGATTTCTGACATATATTATCTTTTAATGTATTAGAATTATATGGTATCTTGTAAAATGTCTTCTTTATATATATCCAATAAACCCATAATTAATAGTTAAATAAAATTTAATCAATTTCTGCCTCCTATAAATATTGTAGCTAATTTTTTTTAATTAACATGTGGTTGGCAGAGTATAAGTCAACTACTATTTATTCATTGCAAGCTATTTGCTCTAAAAGATAAAGTTGGAAAGGAAGTACAGCGCTTAATGAGCTCAAAATACAAGTGGAGAGGAAAAAGAAATTAGCTCACCGCAGTGAACCATATATACCCAAGTGTTGAAGTATGCCATACAAAGTGAACTTTAAGAGAAGTCAGAGGGAAAGATACACTGTAGACTGGCACTGAAAGCTGTGAAATATTAAAATTTAATTTTAGTTAATAGTTTATCTTTTCCACCTCATATTTTATCTTTTTTTATTTTTTAAATGTCCCCTTTATTTATTTTCTTAAGTTTACCCTCAATGTGGGGCTCAAACTCATGACCCCAAGATCAAGAATCACATGCTGTACCTACTGAGCCAGCCAGGTACCCCCCTCCACCTCCCTTTTTTAGATTTAAGAATTAAATGGGAAAATTAGGGTATGTTTCTTTTTTTTTAATAATTTTCTTTTTTTTCAAAGATTTCTGTTTATTTGATAGAGTGTGAGAGAGAGCGCCAACACAAGTAGGGCAGAAGGGCAGAGGGAGAGGGAGAAGCATACTCCCCTCTGAGCAGGGAACCCGATGCAGGGCTCCATCCCAGGACCCCAGGATCATGACCTATGCCAAAGGCAGATACTTGACTTAGCCACCCAGGCACCCTGAGTATGTTTCTTTTTTTTGTGAGAGAAAATTAAGAGTATGTTTCTTTTTGTATGAAGGCATTCCACAAATTGAAAAATGAGTCCTTGGACTATAGCAAGCTGAATATGTGTATGTATGTGCTTACCTGTTTACATCCCTATGGATATGATTGAAAGCTTATTTTCTTTGAGAATAAGGATTACATTTAATTTTTTTTTTTTTACCTTTGCCTCAAGTCTATATAGTAGATGCTCAGTAAATGGGGATCTGCTAGACTGTAACCTCCTTTAAAGCAGTAAGTGTAGCATTTATGTAGCAGGTGGTTACATGTTTCCGAATTAATCTCTCTTTCTATATCATATATTTGTGCTTAATTTTTATTCTCTAACAGTGTGACCTTAGAGCAAATAGTTTAACCTCTCTCTGTGCCTCAGTTTTTATATTAATTTGTTTTTATTGATGTGTAATTGACAAATCATATTAGTTTAGGTGTTCAACATAATGATTTGATACTTGCATATGCTATGAAATAGTAACCACAATAAGTATTGTTTCCCCTTTCACCCTATGATGTTACATAATATACTATACAATGTTATAGACTCTAGTCACCGGGGTGTACGTTGATCCCCTTATGGCTGAATTTTGTACCTCTTGACCCTCTTCTCCCATTTCACTCACATCATATCCCCCCTCTTACCTCTGGCAGCCACCAGTCTGCTCTCTTCATATATGAGTTTGGTTATATTTGTTTTGTTTGTTCATTTGTTTTTTAGAGGCCACTCTAAAAGTGAAATCATACAGTATTAGTCTTCCTCTGACTTATTACACTTATCATTATACCTTCAAGGTCTGCTCATGTTGTCACAAATGGCAAGATTTCACTCTTTTTATGGCTGAATAATATTCTATTGTACTATACCACATCTTCATCCATCCATCCATCCATCCTTCCATCAATGGATGCTTTGGTTATTTTAGCATCTTGGCCACTGTGAACAGTATGCAATAAACATAGGGGCATATGTCTTTTCTGACTAATGTTTTTTTAATTTTCTTAATATAAATATACAGAAGTAGAATTGCTGTATCATATGATAGTTCTTTTCAATTTTTGAAGAAACCCTGTACTGTTTTTTGTAGTGCTACACCAATCTAGAGTCCCACCAATGATGCACAGAAGTCCCCTTTTTTTCCATATCCTCACCAGCAGTTGTTATTTTCTGTCTTCTTGAAAGTAGCCATTATGACAGGTATGAAATAATGCCTCATTATCTTATATCATCATTCTGATGGGTGATGTTAAGCATTTTTTTCATGTGACTGCTGGTCATCTGTATGTCTGCTTTGGAAAAATTTCTATTTAGAATTTCTACCTATTTTTTAATCAGATTATTTTTATTGAGTTATATGAGTTCTTTTATCTATTTTGGCTATTAACCCCTTATTGGATATATAATTTGCAAATACTTTGTCCCATTCAGGAGGTTGCCTTTCTATTTTATTGATGGTTTCCTTTGCTATGCAGAAGGATTTTAGTTTGACGTAGTCCTATTTGTTTATATTTGCTTTCTTTGCCATTGCCTTGGCAATCAGTTACAAAAAAATACTGCCAAGAGTAATGTCAAGTAGCCTACTGCCTATGTTTTCTTCTAGGAACTATGTGGTTTTTGGTCTTGTGTTCAAGGCTTTAATCCAGTTTGAGTTAATTTATGTATGGTGTAAGATGGTGGTGTGGTTTCGTTCTTTAACATGTGGCTGTCCAATTTTCCCAATACCATTTATTAAAGAGACCATCTTTTCTCCGTTGTATATTCTTGCCTCCTTTGTCATAAATTAATCGACCATATACGCGTGAGGTTTTTTTCCCTGGGCTCTTCATTCTGTTTCATTTATCTTTGTATCTGTTTTTGTGCCAATACTGGTTTGATTATTATAGCATTATAATTTGAAATAGGAAGTGTGATGCTTCCAGCTTTATTCTTTTTCAAGATTGCTTTGGCTCTTTGGGATCTTATGTTGTTCAATACAAATTTTAGGATTCTTTGTTCTACTTCTGCATTGAATCTATCTATTGCTTTGGATAATATGGATATTTTCACAATATTCTTAAAATCCATG